CAAGGACAGCCGTGAACTGAGGAGTGTGAGGCGTGGGGGTCACGGGCACCCAACTTCAAACTGCACTAAAGAACATCCCGGGCCAGGTGCGGTGGCTCACGCCTGTAATCCCAGCACTTTGGGAGGCCAAGGTGGGAGGATCACGAGGTCAGGAGATCGAGGCCACCTTGGCTAACACAGTGAAACCCCGTCTCCACTAAAAATACAAAAAAATTAGCCAGGCGAGGTGGCGGCGCCTGTAGTCCCAGCTACTCGGGAGGCTGAGGCAGGAGAATGGCGTGAACCTGGTAGGCGGAGCTTGCAGTGAGCAGAGATTGCGCCGCTGCGGCCGGCCTGGGTGACAGAGCAAGACTCTGTCTCAAAAAAAAAAAAAAAAAAAAAAGAACATCCCTGCTTCAATCAATCAGCGGGGCATCAGCTCAGGCCAGTGTACCAGGTTACCAGCCCTTAGGGAGCATCTGATTTCACCTGAGGAGCTCACATGACCTTTCCGTGGCTTTCCTCTGTGCCCTCCAGGAGAAGTAGGATTCCGTTATTTTTATTCCCCTCCTTGCTGAGTAAGAGAGGAAAGGAATAAGCAGAGGGAAAGGGCCGGGCGTGCTGGTTCACAGCTATCATCCCAGCACTTTGGGAGGCCAAGGCAGGACGACTTCTTGAGCCCAGGAGTTCAAGACCAGCCTGGGCAACATGGTGAAACCCCATCTCTACTAAAAATACAAAAATTAGCCGGGCGTGGTGGCGGGTGCCTGTAGTCCCAGCTGCTGGGGAGGCTGAGGCAGGAGACTCGCTTGAACCTGGGAGGCAGAGGTTTCAGTGAGTCGAGATCACGCCATTGCACTCCAGCCTGGGTGACAGAATGAGACTCTGTCTCAATAAATGAATGAATGAATGAATGAATGAATGAATGAATAAATAAATAAATAAAAAATAGAGGGAGTGACCAATTTCTTTCTTTCTTTATTTTTTTTTTTTTTTTGAGATGGAGTCTCACTGTGTTGCCCAGGCTGGAGTGCAGTGGCGTCATCTCAGCTCACTGCAAGCTCCACCTCCTGGGTTCACACCATTCTCCTGCCTCAGCCTCCTGAGTAGCTGGGACTATAGGTGCCTGCCACCACACCCGGCTAATTTTTTGTACTTTTAGTACAGACAGGGTTTCACCGTGGTCTCGATCTCCTGACCTCGTGATCCTCCCACCTCGGCCTCCCAAAGTGCTGGGATTACAGGTGTGAGCCACCGCACCTGGCCAGAGTGACCAGTTTCAATGAAAGAAATCACAGAAAAGGAACCTTTTAGAAGATCCTGTTAATATCCTCCCTGCCCTCTAGCCTACCCTTCATAAACTTCTCCCAAGAGTTGTGTACACTGCCTCAAATCTCCCCACTAATGCGCCTTCCCCTTCATTGACTCTGCTCTCTTCAAAGTCACCAATGGCCAACAAACCTCTAGACCCAAACCAAGTTCCATCGTGAACTTATGGCTGAATAAGACACTTGCTCACTCCCTTCTTAAAACTCTCTCTCTGGTCTGTCCCGATGTCCTGTTCTCCTGATTTTCTCTGTTAATTAAAAATTATTTCTGGGTGTGGTGGCTCAGGCCTGTAATCCCAGCACTTCGGGAGACTGAGACAGGTGGATCATGAGGTCAGTAGTTCAAGACCAGCCTGGCCAAGAGGTGAAAACCCGTCTCTACTAAAAATACAGAATCACCTGGCATGGTGGCACATGCCTGTAATCCCAGCTACTCAGGAGGCTGAGGCAGAGAGTTGCTTAAAACTCTGGAGGCGGAGGCTGCAGTGAGCCAAGATCATGCCACTGCACTCCAGCCTGGGCAACAAAGTGAGACTCCAGCTAAAAAAAATATGTATCCAGGCTTTGGAAATAGGAAAAAGGAAAATGCCCTTTTGGTACTGTGCCAGGTGTTATCTGCCTGGGGAACCATCTGATTCTCTATAGATGTATAGCTTTGTCTGACTTCTTATGCACTATTGATTAGGGTATTTTACAACTGAGAGTAGTGGTTTATAGAAAATTCATAACAAGTGGCCGGGCACGGTGGCTCATGCCTGTAATCCCAGCACTTTGGGAGGCCGAGGTGGGCGGATCAGGAGGTCAGGAGATTGAGACCATCCTGGTTAACATGGTGAAACCCTGTCTCTACTAAAAATACAAAAAAAAAAAAAAAAAAAAATTAGCCAGGCGAGGTGGCGGACGCCTGTAGTCCCAGCTACTCGGGAGGCTGAGGCAGGAGAATGGCGTGAACCCAGGAGGCGGAGCTTGTAGTGAGCCGAGGTTGCACCACTGCACTCCAGCCTGGGAGACAGAGTGAGACTCTGTCTCAAAAAAAAAAAGAAAAGGAAATTCATAGCGAGTAAATAATTCCTGTCCAGTAGTAATGCAAATGTTTTCTGTCTGGTGGTAAAGGGAATCCTGGAGATTCTAGTTTCTTGCCTTATAGGACATTAACTTGCCTTGTCGAATTCATCTCAGCATTCCTTTGACTGACCAATTACATATTCATTCAGGTTCCCCTTCGAACTATTCTTCACGTTTCTACCGGTTTCCCCATTTACTAACGACTGTGTAACAGCTTTGACATGTGTTCATTTGACATCTGATTGAGAGTCACGTTTTTTAACTTTTTGAAAATTAGCCTTTACTACCTTCCTAAATTCTCTGTGGCTCCAACTCAGCAGGCAGCACTGCGAGCAGGAAAGGGGGTGGGAGACGGTGAGCAAGGTGACCAAAACGAGCAAGGCACAGAGGGCTTTCCTGACAAGTGCTAGGAGCCTTGATGATTGCCCGATGTCCCGGCTTGTCCTGGACTCCTCATGTACCTGCCAGCTGGTGTGCCAGGGCGCTGGGGCCCTTCTGAATGGCACCAAACTGCAACACTGAATCCTCACTGAATTGAGTCCTCAAGCAACAAGGCTCCTCCCCAGCAGGGAGAAGGGCCTGCCCAGCCTTCCTCTCCCATCCCCTAACCCCACAGACCTAGTAATGGTGGGAGCTGTGACTGTCACCTATAGCTGGCCACCCCAGCTACACATTTTGCTCGAAATTACACACACACACACACACACACACACACACACATGCATTCTATGTATGCATTCAACCCAATTTTTTAAAATTTATTTTGGAGACAAAGTCTTGCTCTGTCGCCCAGGCTGGAGTGCAGCGGTGCGATGTCAACTCACTGCAAACTCCACCTCCTGGGTTCAAGTGATTCTCCTGCCTCAGCCTCCCAAGTAATGCACGCCACTATGCCCAGCTATGTTTTTTTTTTTTTTTAAGTAGAGATGGGGTTTCACCATGTTAGCCAGGATGGTCTCGATCTCCTGACCTTGTGATCTGCCCGCCTTGGCCTCCCAAAGTGTTGGGATTACGGGCATGAGCCACCATGCCCGGCCTCAACCCGATTTTTAAAACTACTTTGTGTCCCATTCATCAAATAAAACTAGTCCTCTAAAGAGCTATGTCTTGTGTTTATCCTACAATTTAGCCCAAATTTAAGAAAAACTATGATGTAGCCCAAAATTAAGAAAAGCCACCCCTTCTGTTGGACCCTGTATCTACATATAAATTATCACATTTAACCCTCACAACCTCCTTTGGAGGTAGGTAATGGTCCATTTTACTGATGAAGGAACTGAAACTCCGAAGTGCTAAGCAGCTTGCCTAAGGTCACACATGGTGGGTGGGGCAGGGCCAGCCAGCTCGAAACCCAGGTGTGTCCGATGCTGACCATGCTCTTCCTTGGTTTATCATTATTTGCTCCTCCATGGTCAGCGCTGGTAGGGCCTCAGAGACTGTAGGGTCTCACCTATGCCCTCCTCAGATGTGAAAACAGACCCAAAAACCTGTCCAAAGCTACCCAGGGAGGAAGATGCAAAATCAGGACTCAGGCCAGGCGCAGCGGCTCACACCTGTAATCCCAGGACTTTGGGAGGCCGAGGCGGGTGGATGGCTTGAGGTTAGGAGTTCGAGATCAGCTTAGCTAACATGGTGAAAGTCTGTCTCTACAAAAAATAAGAAAGAGAAAGAAAGAAAGAAAAAGAAAGAAAGAAAGAAAGAAAAGAAAGAAAAGAGAGGAAGGAAGGAAGAAAAAGAGAAATGAAGAAAAGAAAGAAGAAAGGAAAGAAGGAAGGAAGGAAGGAAGGAAGAAAGAAAGAAAGAAAGAAAGAAAGAAAGAAAGAAAGAAAGAAAGAAAGAAAGAAAGAAAGAAAGAAAATCAGTACTCAGAACCTAACAGCTGATCAGTGACACCCTCGGGACGCCTAGACAACCCCTCTCCCCCACTAGGCTAGAAGTATCCGCAGGAAACCACGCTCACAGGTCTACAGTGGATGGCACCCTCAGGAGTCAGGAAATCAGTGTCCAAGTTCTGGCCTTTGGGCAGGTCCCTCCCTCTTGGAGTCTCAAATTTTGTGTATGTAACATGGGCCAATTTTGGGGAGACTTTTAAGAGACAAAGGCAGGCAAGGCAAGTAACTTTATAAACCTATAGATTGCCCAGAGGTGATATATCAAGGCTCATTGTAAACTCTGGAAGACTTAGATCCAGTTTTTATCCCTTAAATGGCGTCACCTCGGGTCAATTTCTATACCTCAGTTTCCTCATATATGAAATAGGGGTCATAATAGGATCTACTTCCTAGAGTTGTTCTAAGGGTTCGAGCGCTTGGAAGTGTCTGGCCCATAGTGATCGCTCAGTAAAGTTGGCTTTTAGTACAGGTTTAGCCTCAAGGCGTAGCTACATTGTAACCCTTGACTACCCGGGTCTCCTCCAAGCTCCGTCGCTCCCGCAGGCCCCGCCCCCGTCCCCGCTCAGTCCCGCCTTCTCCTCCCCAGGTCCCGCCCGCGCAGCCCGCCCCGGGTTCCTCCCGCCACCAGGGGGCAGCGGCGCTGAGGGCGGCCTTCTGGCCGAAGCCGGCGACGCTCTAGGTAACTGCGGCGGCTCCTCTGTGGCCAGTGGCAGCGGCGCTCTAGCCGGCGGCCGTAAGGGGCGGGCTCTCGGTGGTGCGGCCGGCAGGCAGCTATGGCGGCCGTACGGGGCCTGCGGGTGTCGGTGAAGGCGGAGGCCCCGGCGGGGCAAGACCTGGGGCTCCCGTCCCCTGAGGCGGAGTCGGGTGTTGACCGTGGCGAGCCGGAGCCCATGGAGGTGGAGGAGGGCGAGCTGGAAATCGTGCCCGTGCGGCGCTCGCTCAAGGAACTGATCCCGGTACGGGCGGGGGTCGGGGGGCAAGGAGGAGGTCGCGGGGCTAGTCCCAGCGCCGGAGGGGGCCGGAAGGGGCGGTGGCTGGAGCCCCAGCCGGGGAAGTCAGGGGAGCCGGGGAGAAGGGAGCCAGCGTCCTGGGGACGGGGGCGCCGGGCTGGAGGAGGGACGCGGAGCGGGAGAAAGGACGCCGGTGCGCCGGAAATGGGTGTTGAGGGGGCTGGAGGGGGTGGCGGAGAGCTGGGAGAGAGTTGAGGACCCCCCTCCGCTGCCCCCTCTGAGCCGTGCTGTGCAAAGGGGTGAGTGGGGAGTGTCTGGAGGGCTGAGATAAAGGGGGAGCCCTACGCGGGAACAGAACCGGGAGCAGCCCAGAAGGAGCTGTTGGGTGGCGCCAGCAACCAGGTCTCTCCTGTGGGTCTTGCCCCGGAGGAATTTGTATCTGTGAAACATGGCACTCGCTCTTTCTCTTGGGAGGGCTGCACTTGTCAGCAGCAGAAACTCACTGTTTCTGTCGTGACTTCAGAGTCATCTTGCGCCGCCCCCCCACCCCCACCCCGCAGCTCCACTGGCACCTACACCGTCGCCCCAGCATCTCACTCTTAATGAAAGCAAATTAGCAAACGATCAATAGACGCCCTTGATCCCTCATTTACCGCGCTGGGGATGGTGAGGTGTTTTGCTTGTGACTTGGTGTGTAGATCCAGTTCTTAGAGCTGGTTTCAGGCCTGGATGACTCCTCTTAATTTCTAACCTAATATGAACTACTTTTCACCACATGTCAACATATTTAGACTGAAGTTATGGAGAAAGGGTAAGGTATGATCGCTAGAGATGGCAAACGTTATTGATTATGATTAACAACAGCTAATATATTAGCATTTACCATTCACTACATTGTGTCACTTAAATATACTGGCCATGCACACCTTTAGTGCTAGCTATTCAGGATTGTCTAAGTTCCAGACCAGCCTCAGGAATATAGCAACACCCCTTCGAGGTCCCTCCTTTCCCCTCTCCCCATCTCAAAAACAAAACAAAACCAAAATAAATAAGTATCACTGCAGTTGTGAAGTAGGTGTTATCATCCTTTCAGTCATTCAGTTCAACATGGTTTTTGTTTTGTTTTGAGACGGAGTTTCGCTCTTATTACCCAGGCTGGAGCGCAATGGCACAATCTCAGCTCACCGCAACCTCTGCCTCCCAGGTTCAAGCGATTCTCCTGCCTCAGCCTCCTGAGTAGCTGAGCCCAATGGTGCGATCTCGGCTTACCACAACCTCCACCTCCTGGGTTCAAGTGATTCTCCTGCCTCAGCCTCCCAAGTAGCTGAGATTACGGGGATGTGCCACCATGTCCGGCTAATCTTGTATTTTTAGTAGAGACAGGGTTTCTCCATGTTGGCCAGGCTGGTCTTGAACTCCTGACCTCAGGTGATCCTCCCACCTCTGCCTCCCAGAGTGCTGGGATTACAGGCATGAGCCACCGAGCCTGGCCAACATGTATTTATTGCATCCCCCACTATGTACCAAGACACAGCCCTAGGTGCTTGATCAAGATCAACCTCCCTGCTGGAGTTTATGCTCCATATAAACTCTCAATGACAAAAAGGAGCCAACCTTGTGAAGACTGAAAAGGGGTTCCCCCAGCAGGGGCAATGGCAAGCACAGAGGGTCTGGGGTGGGTCCAGGGTTGTTGCAAAGTTCTGTAGCACTAATGGAAGGGCAGTAAAAGAGGTCAGGAAGGCAGGTAGATACCACGCAGGAAACTGGGACCCAGAGAGGTCAAGGAAACTATACAGTGTCCTGTAATTAGTGACCGTCAGAGCTGAGGCTTCCGTCCTCGCTTGGTTTCCAAATCCCATCCCCTTTGCATTGCACTGTGCTGTATTTGCCTCAGGAATTCTAGTTGAGTCTGGACTTCTGCATTGAGGTGGAGGGTTGTGCTCCACCTGGTGGCTGGGCATGGGGAATTTGTTCGGACTAGGTTGGGGAGCTAAGTGACTGTGCTTCATCTTTTGACATTTTCCACAAAAGCCTTTAGATTTTTCTTTACATGGATACTTTCAGTTGATGGAATCACTTCAGGTTTTGGACAGGCTCTGCTCTTCTTATTGGAGTGGTTGATTGATACCATGGAATCACTGGGATGGGGCTTCTTAATAAAAGGTTGTCATGGGTGGCGAAGGGTTTTGAAAAGAATGACTCTTCAAAAAGAACCAGACTGGCCAGGTGCGGTGGCTCATGCCTATAATCCCAGCACCTTGGTAGGCTGAGACAGACGGATCACCTGAGGTCAGGAGTTTGAGACCAGCCGGCCAACATGGTGAAACCTCGTCTCTACTAAAAATACAAAAATTAGCTGGCCATGGTGGCACATGCCTGTAATCCCAGCTACTCAGGAGGCTGAGACAGGAGAATCGCTTGCACCCGGGAGGTGGCGGTTGCAGTGAGCCAAGTTTGCACCACTGTACTCCAGCCTAGGTGATAGAGCAAGACTCCATCTCAAAACACAAACAGATAAACAAGAAGAACCAGACTCTGTGTGGTGGCTCATGCATGTAATCCTAACACTTTGGGAGACTGAGGCAGGAGGACTGCTTTAGCCCAGGAGTTGGAGACCAGCCTGGGAAACATAGGGAGACCCTGTCTCTACAAAAATAAAAAAAAAATGAGCTGAGTGTGGTGGCATATGCCTGAGGGCCCAGCTACTGTGGGAAGCTGAGGTGGGAGGATGGCTTGAGCCTGGGGAGTCGAGGCTGCAGTGAGCTGTGATCATTCTACTGCACTCCAGCCTGGTCAACAGAGCGAGACACTGTCACAAAAAAAAATAATAATAAAAAAATAAAAAAGAAGAACCAGCTGTCAGCCCGACTTTTATCATAGGTTTTCCCTCAATTGCTATTTGAATTTCTCACCCTTCTCCTTTGTGTTAGGACACGAGCAGAAGATACGAAAACAAGGCTGGCAGCTTCATCACTGGAATTGATGTCACCTCCAAGGTAAGACAGGCTATGATTTATTTATTCGCTTGATAAGCAAGTGAACTTAATGAACTTGATCCCTAGGACTTAACAGTAAATATTTCCTCTTTTCTTTTGTTGCTGGATTTAAATTTTCTTTCTAAAAAAAATGGTGTTATTGGCCGGGCACACTGGCTCATGCCTATAATCCTAGCACTTTGAGAGGCCCAGCAAGTAGGTCATTTAAGACCAGGAGTTCGAGACCAGCCTGGGCAACATAGTGAGACCCGTCTCTACAAAAGATACAGAAATTAGCTGGGTGTGGTAGTGCAGGTCTGTAGTCCCAGCTACTCAGGAGGCTGAGGTGGGAGGATCACTTGAGCCTGCCATGTTGAGACTGCAGTGAGCTGAAATCGTGCAACTGCATTCCAGCATGGACAACAACAAAAAATTTTGTGTTATACAACGATATCTTCATGCATCCTGAAACGGTGCTGGCAGCATTTGTGTGTTCTTACAGCCATGAAAAGATAAAATCACTCTACCTAGATAACTGTGTTGAACCATTTCTAAGAAAATGTCCAGGACTGGGAATGCTTTTTTAAATGGTATGTCCGTTTCTAAAAAAAAATATGTACTGTTTCTACTTGAAATGAAACAAAATATGAAAAGTGCCTGGCACATAGTAGGCACCCCCCCTTTTTTTTCTTTTTCTTTTTTTTTTAGTTGGAGTCTCGCTCTGTTGCCCAGGCTGGAGTACACTGGTACGATCTAGGCTCACTGCAACCTCCACCTCCTGGGTTCCAGCGATTCTCCTGCCTCAGCCTCCTGAGTCATTGGGACTATGGGAGCACACCACCACGCCTGGCTAATTTTTGTAATTTTAGTAGAGATGGGGTTTCACTATATTGGTCAGGCTGGTATCGAATTCCTGACCTCAGGTGATCCACCTGCCTCAGACTCCTGAAGTGCTGGGATTCCAGGCGTGAGCCACCGCGCCCAGCATAGTAGGCCCTTAACAGTCTTTATTCCTCATTAGCTGTAGACCCAGAAAAAGAGGACTTCCTGATTGCCTGGCTGTCTAAAGTCTGAAGCCCAAGTCAAGTGAATTATTCTTAGTACTTAAGTCTATTGCCTTGTATCTAATGATTGCTATTACCAGATTATCACCTTCATTGTAACACCTCATAGAGTCAAGCCTATTATTTTCCTTATATGTAGTCAATACATGTAAGTTGCTTTAATCAGTGATGTTCCGTTTTAGACCTTTTTTCTGATTTTAATGTGTAACGTTAAGTTTGGAACAGAATTTTGTATTACATTTCTGAATAATAATATATATTGCTGTATTGAATACATAAAAGCAAAAATAAAAATATATTTCATGCCTACCTTTTTATAATGCTTTTTTTGGGTTTTTTTGTTGTTGTTTGTTTGTTTTTGTTTTTGTTTTGAGGCAGAGTCTTATTCTGTCACCTAGGCTGGAGTTCAGGGGTGCGATCTCGGCTTACTGCAACCTGTGCCTCCTGGATTCAATTGATCCTTCTGCCTCAGCCTCCCAGGTAGTTGGGCACTGCAGGTGGATGCCATCATGCCCAGCTAACGTTTTTATGGTTTATCTGTGTCTCTGTGTGTTTCTGATTACTTAAAGGCCAAAAACAAAACAAAAAACAAGAAAGAGAATTGGTCATCTTTTAGACAAGAAAAGAGAATAAAGTGAAAATATTTTCTTACTGTGATTTAAAAAGTAAACTATTCTTAATCTTACACCATTTGCCATTATATGAAACAGGTATATGGGAAAAGGGTGGTAGTCTCAGAGTTAGTACTTTGTTTCTAAAGGAAGGTAAATTATTGTTTGTACTAGGAAGACTTCAGTGAAGAAAATGAGCATAGCGGCCAGGCGCGGTGGCTCAAGCCTGTAATCCCAGCACTTTGGGAGGCCGAGATGGGCGGATCACGAGGTCAGGAGATCGAGACCATCCTGGCTAACATGGCGAAACCCCGTCTCTACTAAAAAATACAAAAAATTAGCCGGGCGAGGTGGCCGGGCGCCTGTAGTCCCAGCTACTCGGGAGGCTGAGGCAGGAGAATGGCGTAAACCCGGGAGGCGGAGCTTGCAGTGAGCTGAGATCCGGCCACTGCACTCCAGCCTGGGCGACAGAGCGAGACTCTGTCTCAAAAAAAAAAAAAAAAATGAGCATAGCTATTGGGAAATAACGGAACTTACAATTTTACCAATCCCCACAAGCTCTTTATATAGTCAGACCTTCAATTAGTGTGGTGAAGTCAATATACAATTAATGAAGGGTCCTGGGCACCGTGGCTCACATCTGTTTTCCCAACACTTTGGGAGGCTGAGGCAGGCAGATCATGAGGTCAAGAGATCAAGACTATCCTGGCCAACATGGCGAAACCCTGTCTCTACTAAAAATACAAAAATTAGCTGAATGTGGTGGCGGGCGCCTGTAGTCACAGCTACTCAGGAGGCTGAGGCAGGAGAATCTCTTGAACCCGGGAGCTGGAGGTTGCAGTGAGCCGAGATCGCGCCACTGCACTCTAGCCTGGCGACGGAGTGAGACTCCGTCTCAAAAACAAAAACAAACAAAACCAGTTAGTGAAGGGTTCCTAAGAGCCATCAGAAACCCACCTTTGGACCTGGGTTTATTTTAGCTCTTAGAAGAAACTTACAAAGCTGATTATTTTTTCAGTGAAGTGTCAATGGTTCTTACCACTTAAAGATGAAAACTGGTGATTCCATGGCCACAAGGCTGGAAGGGGAGAGAGTTTCTTCAGTGTTGTTTTGTTTTGTTTTGTTTTGTTTGTTTTTTTGAGACAGAGTCTCGCTCTGTCGCCCAGGCTGGAGTGCAGTGGCACGATCTCGGCTCACTGCAAACTCCGCCTCCTGGGTTCACGCTATTCTCCTGCCTCAGCCTCCTGAGTAGCTGGGACTACAGGCGCCCGCCACCGCGCCCGGCTAATTTTTTGTATTTTTGTATTTTTAGTTTCACCGTGGTCTCGATCTCTTGACCTTGTGATCCGCCCTCCTCGGCCTCCCAAAGTGCTGGGATTATAGGAGTGAGCCACCGCGCCCAGCTCAGTGTTGTTTTTAAACAGACTAGCTTTAGGGAGTGGACTGCTCAGGCAGATACAATGTGGAAGAACGTGACAGGTGTGACTGCCGTTGCCCACAGACAATGTGAAATGGTTGCAGGTGGGCTCCTAGAAATAGCACTGGAATCAGATCTGCTCACTTACTAGCTGAAGTATCTCCAGCAAATCTTTTTGCTTTTTTGTGCCTCCATTTCTGCCCCTGGAAAATGGGGATGTTGAAATTGTTTAGTTGTAATTTGTTGGCATAATTGATAATAACAAATGAAGTGTCATATAGCTTCATAAACTGTAAAGGACTGTTCATTCAGTGAGCAGATGCTTACTGAGTTCCTACTATTTCCCAGGCACAGTGACGGGGCTATGTTAGGTTGGAGATGCTTGCAAATTACAACAATATTAACATATTCCCTCCCAGTCATTGAGTGTGACTGTCCAGGTCTCTGCAACAGTTTTTCAAGGTGTAGTGTTGCTTATTTCTTCTTATTTATTTCAGGTTTGTCACTGACGCATCATGATGCATTCGTGATTTAATTTGCCTTCTCCATATTTTACTACTTTCACTTTTTCTGTACTTTCTAGGAAGCAATTGAAAAGAAAGAGCAGCGAGCCAAGCGCTTCCATTTTCGATCAGAAGTAAATCTTGCCCAAAGAAATGTAGCCTTGGACCGAGACATGATGAAGAAAGGTACAGGGTGTTTTGGGGGAAATTTGTCCACATATCCCCAGAGAGCGACTTTTCCCTGCCATCGCCTCATGCTTCTGCCTTGCCTTGCATGTCCACTTCTTATCCAAACACTCCTGTGAGAAGGGACCTGTGAAGTCTCCATTTCTGAGGTCACCTGTTTAAAGTTCAGATGCTGTCAGCTGGCTCAGATGTTAGAGCTGGGGAATAAAGAGATTGTCTTTTCTGAGGGGGCCCAGAAAAAGTTACCAGTTAGTGGCAGAGCTGAGATTTGAACCTGTGCTTCTAAGGACCCTTACTCATTTTCTGCTTTTATCATCAAGGTGTTAACTTTTGTTTGCATTTAAATGTAGTGAAAGTGTATCACAGTGAGACCTTCTTTTCGGGGAGTTAGAGCAATGTTGAGATTGGTGGGGAAAAGCCATTAACACTTTTATCGATAATCTGAATCTGTTGGCCAGGCGTAGTGTCTCATGCCTGTAATCCCAGCACTTTGGGAGGCCAAGGCAGGTGGATCTCTTGAGGTAAGGAGTTTGAGACCAACCTGGCCAACATGGTGAAGCCCCGTCTCTACTAGAAATAAACAAAAATTAGCCTGGCGTGGTGGCAGGTGCTTGTAATCCCAGCTACTCGGGAGGCTGAGGTGCAAGAATCGCTTGAACCTGGGAGCCGGAGGTTGCAGTGATCCGAGATTGTGCCACTGCACTCCAGCCTGGGCAACAGAGCAAGACTCTGTCTTTTTAAAAAAAAAAAAAAAATTCTGAATCTGTTGATAGTCTGAATATCTGACATATATAAACCTCTTAATAACATCCTATTGTCAGAGAAAGCTAAACTAATCCTGCCCGGAGTTTTAAGCCTGCCCTTACTGTTGGACTTGTGATTTGATTTGATCTTTGTTTTGTTGGGATATTTTGCTCCCTAGAACTCACCCTGAGTTATCATATATAGTAATCTGCCACAGTTTTCTAAAGCAATTTATAAATAAAAGGAAAAATTACTACTTTTTTAGTGAGTCTATGTTCTTATTTATTTATTTATTTATTTATTTATTTTTTTTTTTTTTTTGAGACGGAGTCTTGCTCTGTCGCCCGGGCTGGAGTGCAGTGGCCGGATCTCAGCTCACTGCAAGCTCCGCCTCCCGGGTTTACGCCATTCTCCTGCCTCAGCCTCCCGAGTAGCAGGGACTACAGGCGCCCGCCACCTCGCCCGGCTAGTTTTTTGTGTTTTTAGTAGAGACGGGGTTTCACTGTGTTAGCCAGGATGGTCTCGATCTCCTGACCTCGTGATCCGCCCGTCACTGTGTTAGCCAGGATGGTCTCGATCTCCTGACCTCGTGATCCGCCCGTCTCGGCCTCCCAAAGTGCTGGGATTACAGGCTTGAGCCACCGCGCCCGGCCTATGTTCTTATTTATTATTCTACTCTAATATAAATCCATGAATGCAGAAGTCTTCCCTGTGTGGTATTTGCAAATTTGGGTGTTCATAAAGGGTTTAGTAGGCAGCCTTCTGAAGGCATGTTAAAGGCCTGTGCTGTATTGTATGAGCTTCTCTAGCCTTGTTTGGTTGATAAAAGCAAAAGCTCTGTAAATACATTGAATGAATGAAAGAATAGCTGCTATTTGTTGTGAGCTTGCTTTTTCACCAGACTCCGTTAAGCGCATTACATATTTCTTTTTTGTTGCTCACAACAATTCTATGAGGAATATATTTTTATCCCTATTTTATAAAGGAGGAAGCAGCCTCAAAGAAGTTTAATAAATTGCCCAGGGTCATGTAGCTAGTAAAGGTGGAGTTAGGATTCACACCCGGTTTCTTTGACTCTAAAGCCTTGCTTTTAACTCCTTTGCTCTGTTGCTGTGTAATGTAGGATATGGTGCTGTCGACTGAAATTGCGTCCCTCCTCAGTCCGTCCTAATGGGCGCAGCAGTGTGGATGCAGAGCTGAACTCTGGAAGCTGCTTCACTCTTTATCCTGCATGACCAGTTCAAGTCAGAAATACGACCTTGCTTCCCTCGTGGGCGGGGGTTTCTGTTTGAGGAGAAGTCCTGTGGAGGCCAGGGACAGTGGTGAGGCTTGACATTCATGTGCCTGTACATCCGGGCGCGAGCGTCCCCGGGAGTCTCTGACAACTCTACCTGGAGGCATCATAGCTTTATCACACCGTCGACTTCTGGTCCCGAGAGCATTCCTTGAGGCGCCTTGCCTCTGATACGGCTCATGCCTTTCACTCTGCATGTTTGCCCTTCCTTGTCCCGTGCCTTATCTCTGCTCAGGTGTCACTTCCCCCATGGAGCATCTCTGCTCACCCACTTGAAATGCTTTCTCACTTTTGTTGGAGCTCTTTAGGGTGCGAAAGCCTCCTAGAATCTAGTCTCAGTTCCTTTGTGACTGAGGACAAGTTCTTGAGCCTTGTTAGTTTCAGTCTCCTTGTCTGTGAAATGAAAATACGATACTTACCTTAATAGGATCACTTTTGGGGTTAACTTTTAATATAAAAAAATTTTTTTAAATACAACTCCAATCTCACGGTTCTAAAGATACTCCTAAAACAGGCAGTAAGGTCAGCCGTGGGATATCAGCTGGGGAAGCTTGCTTATTTCAATCCATTCTTTGTCCAGGAAGCAGCATGGCCTAGGATAGTGTTCCTGAGCCCTGGGAAACCCTGCTGCCCATCTCAGACCACTTTACATTAGTTGGGGTTGGATAGGTCCCAGGGAGAGTTACTGGTTTTCTTTTATTTTATTTTCTTTTTTTTTTTTTGAGACAGAGTCTTGCTCTGTCGCCCAGGCTGGAGTGCAGTGGTGTGATCTCGGCTCACTGCAAGCTCCGCCTCCTGGGTTCAAGCGGTTCTCCTGCCCCAGTCTCACAAGCAGCTGGGACTACAGGCGCGTACCATCACACCAGCTAATTTTTTGTATTTTTTAGTAGAGACAGGGTTTCGCCATGTTAGCCAGGATGGTCTCAATCTCCTGACCTTGTGATCCACCCACCTTGGCCTCCCAAAGTGTTGGGATTACAGGTGTGAGCCACTGTGCCCAGCCTTTTTTTTTCCCCCTCTCTTTGTCACCAAGGCTGGAGTGCGATGGCACGATCTCGTCTCACTGCAACCTCTGCCGCCCAGGTTCAAACAATTCTCCTGCTTCAGCCTCCTGAGTAGCTAGGATTACAGGCACCTACCACCATGCCCAGCTAATTTTTGTAGTTTTAGTAGAGACGGGGTTTCACCATCTTGGCCAGGCTGGTCTTGAACTCCTGATCTTGTGATCCACTCACCCTGGCCTCCCAAAGTGCTAGGATTACAGGTGTGAGCCATCGCACCTGACCAATAGTTATTCTTTTTATATCTTCTCAGGTAGTTGTTGTTTTTTTGTTTGTTTGTTTGAGAAGGAGTCTCGCTCTGTCCACCAGACTGGAGTGCAGTGGTGTAATCTCGGCTCACTGCAACCTCCGCCTCCTGGGTTCAAATGATTCTCCTGCCTCAGCTTCCTCAGTAGCTAGGATTACAGGTGCCTGCCACCATGGCCAGCCAATTTTTATATTTTTATTAGAGGTGGGGTTTCACCATGTTGACCAGGCAGGTCTTGAACTCCTGACCTCGTGATCCACCCGCCCCAGCCTCCCAAAGTGCTGGGAGTACAGGTGTGAGCCACCATGCCTGGCCAATGACAGGAATTCTTATAGGGCTGCTGGGGACTGTAACAAAATGTTCCAGTTCATAGAGTGGCGCTTGGCACACAGCAGGTACCTAGTTAATGTTAGTTCTCATCATCTGGTGTTCTCCATCTTCCCAGCCATCACTGAAGTGACCTAGCTTCTTGGGAGAGTGAGGAAATTGGAATAAGTATGTTGACTCCTGCATCCACACTAGTTGTCAAGTTCAAGTTATTTGTTATTAGTACCAACAGCAATAATAAAAGATAACATTTGTTAAGTGCTTACTATATGCCAGTCATGCTGCTATGTGATTAACTTACCCTTTCAACAGCCCTGTAAGGAGAAGGTGTTTATTATTTCCATTTCACCGAGGAGAAAAGTAAGGTGCTAAGAGGTTGGGAAACTTGCTTGTGGTCCCACAGCTAAGTAAGTAGCAAGGCTGAGGTTCAAAGGCTGATGGGACTGAAACCTGTGTTCCTAACTGCTCTGCCAGCATTCAGACAGTTTGGGATGCGGTACACTAGACTTTTCTGCATCAAGAGTGACTTGCTATGTTTGAATGATTCAGTGTAAAACAGCTTTGGTCTCTTTATGCCCAAGATTCAAGCTTTCATGGGTGGAAGAGACCTCGGAGGTCATCTAGGTTAATCTTCTGCCCAGCCCTGCAGGCCTTTTGGCAAACTTCCTAATGGTCTTTTGGCCGCTGCCTGAATGTTTCTTAAGTGATGGCGTGAGAACTACTTATGAGGCAGACAACTTTATTTTTGGATCCTTACTTGTGTTGAGCATTGCCTTCTAGTAATTTCTGTCTGTTAGTTACTGTGTGACTGTGAAGTCCTTTCATCCAGTAGTCCTTCAGGTGGCGGAGGCACAGGCTTGCTGCGCATTCGCTCAGCTTTGCTTCATGTGTCGTGACTTTCTAGTCTGCCTTTTCTAAACACTTTGCAGTTTCTATTGTTCTTCCTGAGGCGAGATACACGTTCCAGTTATGGTTGGATTCACAGAGAGAATGGCAGGACTGTCACTCACCGTTGTCTCTGCCTCCGCCATTTCAGTGTTTGCTCTCACCCTGTATGCAGCCAGAGCACTTAGGTCTTTTCCCCAGGAATGGTGCCCATCAGAGCAGGCTCTCTCATCATGTACTTGAGGCACTTTTTAAAAAATTACTTTTAAATGTATTCCTATTAAATTACATCCTGTTGATTTCAAACCTCTGCTTTCAGTCTGTTGAGTGAATTTTCATCGTAACTCCACCTTTCAGCTCCTGGCTCTACTCCTCAGCTTCTTGCTCTCCATTGTGTACACATGGCTTCTGTTTCTTCATCCAGTGATTGAAGGGTGGGCAGTGTCTTCCAGTATCATAAGTCTTATTCTATTACCATAAGGCCCACAGTTCATTTTACTGTCATGAGGAACTGGATTACATGCCTTAATGAACTTGAAATAGAGCCCCATCTGTGTATTTTCTGAATTTCTTGACCTGGTAATCCTATCAAAAAAGAAATGAGGTTAGTGTGGCTTTTTTTGTTTCATCCATAGGCTTGGAGCTTGCTCCTTACGGAACTGCCGTCATTTCCTGTGGGAAAGATTTGGTTATTTATTTATTTATTTTTTAGAGATGGGATCTCACTGTGTTGCCCAGGGTGGTCTTGAACTTCTGGATTCAAGTGATCCTCCCGCTTCAGCCTCCCAAAGTACTGGGATTGCAGGCATGAGCTACCGCACCTGGCTTAAGACTTGGTTTTTAAAGGGATCGTAGATTCTAATAAGCTTTTTTGTAAAAAAAAAAAATTTTTCAGAGACTGACAGTGAGGTTTTCAATCTCAGATTTGGGAATTTTTCCTTTTTTTTTTTTTTTTTTGTGAAAATCTGCACAGGATTAATCCTTCTCACAGTTTTAAGGTACTTCCCTGCTACTTTTTAGAGATTATTACCTAATTCTGAAATCATAGCTGTGTGTTTGAGTTAGTACTTGGGATATAATTCTAGACTAGAAGATTTAAATCTAAATTCTTATGCTCTTGTCACCTAACTTGAGTTTTGACTGTTCTTTAATGATAGTTGTTAGTAGAATAGCAAAATAGGTCAACAGTTCTGCATTTTGTTTTGTTTTGTTTTTGCATCATCTTCCCAAAGCAGATTTTGCTATGAACACTTACAAAAAAAAGCTGTCAGCATTTTTTTTTTTTTTTTTTTTTAGACAGAGTTTCGCTCTTGTTGCCCAGGCTGGAGTGCAATGGCGTGATAGGCTTACTGCAACCTCTGCCTCCCGGAGTTCAAGGGCTTACTGCAACCTCTGCCTCCCGGGTTCAAGCGATTCTCCTGCCTCAGCCTCCCAAGTAACTGGGATTACAGGCATGAGCCACCACGCCTGGTTAATTTTATATTTTTAGTAGAGATGCGGTTTCTCCATGTTGGTCAGGCTGGTCTTGAACTCCCGACCTCAGGTGATCTGCCCACCTCGACCTTCCAAAGTGTTGGGATTCCAGGCGTGAGCCACCGTGCCCAGCCTGCTGTCGGCATTTCTGATGAGCCTGTTTGCTCTGGATTCTAATCTTTTCTTCATTAGCTCTTTCACAAACAGTTCATGCTCACCAAAGAAAATGTGGAACATAGAACAGGAGGAAAAGTTGCTCACAGTCTGCCATCCAAACCCAGTGGTCGCCAATATTCTGTGTGTTTCCTTCTAATCCCTTCTGGGCGTGAACTTCTGTTTTTCTCCTCTGTAGCCACATTGCTTTCTTTCGTTCCCTGGACAGTCCATGGTCAGCATTTCCATGTTACTGTATAGCCTGGCATTAGTCGTTCCGATCGTGCCATTCTCATCGTAATCTGTCTCTCTCCTACGTGTGTGCTTTGGCAAGTTGTGCTCACCTGAAATTCGCTACCTTCTCTTTTCCAGGGAACCCCAGGAAATCGTTGTTAGTGCCTGGCAGTGCAATAGTGAACAGAGGCCTAACTGTGGATAAGATTGATTGAGTCCAAGGGCCTTCTCGGTGCTTGGAATTAAAAGCCATGAGTTTGGAACAAAAAGAGCCTAAGGGAAGTAAAGAGATGGTTTCCGAGAAGGCAGCAGAAAGCAAGGAGAGCCCCGAGTGATGATAGAGGAAACAGACTGAGGATTAGGGAGAAAACATTAGGGAGACTTGTTGATCTGACAAAAAAAATTAATTTTAAATGAGACTAGCATAGAAAACAAAGACCAAAAAAACGACAAAAATAATTGCCATGGGCATCATAACATTACAACATTAAAAAAACCTACAGGTGAAGAAATACCTTAAAAGCAAACAGGAAAGAGTGTGAGGAACAAAATTTCTGGCCTCAGATGTCTGTTTTTTTAAAAAAATAGAGAAGGTCTCACTGTGTTGCCCAGGCTGGTCTCCAACTCTTGGGTTCAAGCAATCCTCTCATCTTGGCCTCCCGAGGTGCCGGGGTTACGGGCACGAGCCCCTGCACCCAGCCTCACACGTCTATTTTAAGTTAGAGAAAGTTGTACACATCAAAACTTGGGCAGTGGATAATCCTGTTCAAAAGAAGCAGGTAAAGATACAAAGAAAAAAAAAAAAAAGGCCGGGCGCGGTGGCTCAAGCCTGTAATCCCAGCACTTTGGGAGGCCGAGACGGGCGGATCACGAGGTCAGGAGATCGAGACCATCCTGGCTAATACGGTGAAACCCCGTCTCTACTAAAAAAAAATACAAAAAACTAGCCGGGCGAGGTGGCGGGCGCCTGTAGTCCCAGCTACTCGGGAGGCTGAGGCAGGAGAATGGAGTAAATCCGGGAGACGGAGCTTGCAGTGAGCTGAGATCTGGCCACTGCACTCCAGCCTGGGCGACAGAGCGAGACTCTGCCTAAAAAAAAAAAAAAAAAAAAAAGAGAGAGAGAGAGAGAGAGGCAGGCGCTGGGTGCAGTGGTGCATGCCTGTGATCCCGCACTGTGGAAGACCGAGACAGACGGATCACTGGAGGTCAGGAATTCAAGACCAGCCTGGGCAACATGGTGAAACCCCATCTCTGCAAAAAATAAAAAAATTAGCTGAGCATGGTGGTTTTTTCCTTTGGAAAAGGTCTTACTCTGTTGCCCAGGCTGGAGTGCGGTTGTGCGATCATGGCTCATTGCAGCCTCAACCTCCTGGGCTCAAGCAATCCCACCTCAGCCTCCTGAGTACCTGGGACTGTAGCTGTACACCACCACACTCAGCTAATTTTTAAATTTTTGGTAGAGATAGGGTCTCCCGGTGTTACCCAGTGAGCCCGGTGTTACCCAGGCTGGCCTCTCGAACTCCTGGGCTCAAGCAGTCCTCCCACCTCAGCCTCCCAAAGTGCTGGGATTATAAGCATGAGCCACGATGCCCACCTGGATTCATAAATCTTCACGGTATCTTTATCTTTTTAAATCTGGGCTGTCAGGAAAGTACTCAACTGAGTTACTCTGGCCACACTTACATGGGCTCCTGTTAAACGCATCTCTTAACTCTTTGAGATTTAAAATTATTATGTGTTTAAAATTGTTAAACACATTTTTTTATTTGTAAAATGTTTTTGTTTTAAATAGTAGTAGTAGCATATATCTGCAGAAGAAGGATGGGAGAAAAAATTTTTTAATTTTGTTACTGGCATGTAAAAACATGCTTGGGAGTAACAGACATTAAATTCTTTTTTTAAATTTTATTTTATTATTATTTTTTTGAGACGGAGTCTCGCTCTGTCGCCCAGGCTGGAGTGTAGTGGCGCGATCTCGGCTCACTGCAAGCTCTATCTCTTGGGTTCACGCCATTCTCCTGCCTCAGCCTCATGAATAGCTGGGACTACAGGCACCCGCCACCTCGCCCGGCTAGTTTTTTTATATTTTTAGTAGAGACGGGGTTTCACCGTGTTAGCCAGGATGGTCTCGATCTCCTGACCTCGTGATCCGCCCATCTCGGCCTCGCAAAGTGCTGGGATTACAGGCTTGAGCCACCGCGCCTGGCCAGAATTACGTTTTTAATAGACCCTTCCAGTTTGCCCTTCAAAGTGACGATGCCCACCAGCAGGGGAAGTAACTCTTTCCCCTACTTACTGCCAACATTTCACACTAAAATATGTAAGATATCTTGATTCAAGTACCAGAGACGTGGGAAAAATGAGATGTAAAATCTGGTCGGTGAAAACTGCTATCCTCTTGTTTTCATGTGCATGTTAATAATCGGTAGTGAGGTCAGCCCATCTCCTCACATGGTTATTGGCCTTTTGTATTTCCTTTTATGTAAATTGCTTACTCATGTCCTTTGCCCATTTTTATTTTGGGTTGTCTTTTTTTTCTTAATTGACTTGTAGGATCTTTAGTTTCATGCTTTGACATAGTCATGGGCAGCATCTTTCAGAATTGTCTCCACTACTGCACATTTCTCTTCAATATACATTTAAAAATTTTGGAATCAGCCAGTTAGCTTCAACAAATACTGCTGTTGAGCTTGATAGTGCTCTGATTGCTACAGATTAATGTGGGGAGAGGTATCATGTATTTTATCAACACCCTTTGTTTGATCTTTCTGAGCCTGATACACCTGTTCCGAATTAATGCTGTTGTTCAGTGATAAAAATTAAGTTAGTTTACCTTACTGTTATGTCTCGTGCTCTTTTGAAATAATTGTTGTTTCTCTCAGCATGTTTCTTTCTAAACTCGTGTTGTCTGAACTGTTAGGAAGGAGGGCGGATGGGATGTGCAGTTGTGGGAAGGAAAATTCTATCATCTTTTCTGTGTCTTGTCTTTCTAGCAATTCCCAAAGTGAGACTGGAGACAATCTATATTTGCGGAGTAGATGAGATGAGCACCCAAGATGTCTTTTCCTATTTTAAAGAATATCCTCCAGCTCACATCGAATGGTTGGATGATACCTCCTGTAAGTACACCGAGTTTTCTGTGAATATGCTTTTGTTGATGATTTTTCAAGAGGTCCTGCCATCAGAGATGATGAATGATTATGGCTCATATTCCTTGTTTATGCCTAACTTCTACTGTTAGTCCAGGAGAGAAAAACTTGTCGAGCAGTGAAACCCAGCATGCCCTTACCAGTCTGCCAGCCCATACCCCATAGTCTTCCAAGTCAGCTTAGAGGTGGTGGCCAGGGCTCTAGGAGGTGGGTTACTGGCATCTGAATCTGCCGTACTTGAGTGAGGCCCCTTTAACACTCACCTTTTCCCAATAAAGGAGAGGATCCAACTGCATAGACTTGGGGCTGCATTTTCAGAGCCTCGGACTTTGTCATTGCTGCCTTCTGTACTGTTACTCAGAGGGCTGACTCTGCCTGTGTCTCTGACCTAGAGAGAGACCAGAATACACACTCGACAGCGTGTCGTTCTGAATAGACAGAATGACCTAGAGCTAAACACTCTCGTAGACCTCTCCTTTCTGCTTGCCTTGAACTGCGTGTTCTAGAATATCACCTGCTTGCCCTAACCCATGAGCTTTCTTTCCACCTTGTGGGCCAACTGTAATTTTAACTTGTCTGCTTACTGTAAGTCTGACCTGACCTCTTGTTACTGCTTTGCTGGCTTCTTGTCTTGACTCACATCTAGTCTGGCTTTCCTTGCTGCCAGCTGGCTGACCTACTAGGTGGCACCCTGGATAGCAGCCTGGTTTTCTTAGCTGCTCTCTTCGGAAGAGGTCTTCATTGAAGAGAAACATGACTGAGTGAAACATTTTTCTCCTTTTTTCTTTCTGTTTAACTTACACTATCCAAATCAGGAACCGGCAAAGCTTTTTCTTTGAAGGGCTGGAATACAGATATTTGAGGCTTTGTAGGCTTAATGGTCTCTGTCATATGTACTCAGCTCTGCTGTGGTAGCATGAAAGCAACTAGTAAATAATACGTAAACTAGGAGCCTGGCTGTTTTCCGGTGGAATTTTATTTACACAAACAGGTGGTAGGTCGGGCATGGTGGCTCACTCCTGTAATCCCAGCACTTTGGGAGGATCACTTGAGATCAGGAGTTCAAGACCGGCCTGGTCAACCTGGCAAAACCTCGTCTCTACTAAAAATACAAAAATTAGCCTGATGTGGCGATGCACGCCTATAATCCCAGCTATTCAGGAGGCTGAGGCAGGAGAGTTGCTTGAATCCGGGAGGCAGAGGCAGCAGCAAGCTGAGAAAGTGCCACTGCACTCCAGCCTGGGCAACAGAGTGAGGCTTCATTTCAAAAAAAACAAAAACCCACCAAAAAACAGGTGGTAGATGTGTGTAGTTTATTGTATATTAATCATACCTAAATAAAGCTGGCACAAATATAAATAAACAACAGGTGGTGGGCTAGCTTTTGCTTGAGGGTTATAGTTTACTAACCCTGATCTAAGTCATTCAAACTGTGGCTGAGGCATAGTAGAATTGGAGGGGCTCTGAGAATTACATAGGTCACCTACCTCGTGTTACTTGTCAGAACCTGAGAAACAGAGGAAGGAACATGTTGCCTAAGGCCACGTGGCACATTAGTAACAGAAGTGAGAGCCTCAGACCTTCATTTCCCAAACTGAGATACAGGGGACACAGAAGTTTGAGAAATACTCTTTTAAACAAAGTTAAAGAGGTTTGTTTTCTGTGAGACTTCTCAAAACCCTTTTCTTGCTAAATTATCTTCCTTAAAAGGGCACATTAAATTAGTTGCTGCAAAGCCAACTGGCTGTCATGCCTCCATTCTACATATCCCAGGGATACCTCCGTCACCCACGTTTTCCAGAGGGAAGGGGGAACATCACTTAGCACGTCCTGACAAGGAACAGCAAAGGGCTTCCTGTAGGGGGCGGTAGTGTAAAGGACAATCCAAACTTATTTGACAGTTATCATCAAGAACTGCTAATACTTGAATATTCAGTATTTAACTACCTGTGTTCTGTCCCAAGTAGTTTTAATACACACAACCCTTTTTCATGGAATACTTATTTTGTGGAACCCAGTTTGGAAATGCAACTCTAGGCTAATTTCATCAGAGAGGTTTTACTATCCTTTTCTTTCTTTTCCCTTCCCTTTCCTCTCTCTTTTTCCTTTCCACTTCCTTCTTCCCCCTTCCCCCTTCCCCCTTCCACTTTCCCCTTTCCCCCTTCCCTTTTCTTCTCTTTTCTTTTTTTTTATTTTCTTGACAGTCTCACTCTGTTGCCCAGGCTGGAGTGCAGTGTCATCATCTTGGCTCACTGGAAGCTCTGCCTCCCAGGTTCATGCCGTTCTGCCTCAGCCTCCCGATTAGCTGGGACCACATGCACCCACCACCACGTCTGGCTAATTTTTTGTATTTTTAGTAGAGATGGGGTTTCACCATGTTAGCTAGGATGGTCTCCATCTCCTGACCTTGTGATCCGCCCGGCTCAGCCTCCCAAAGTGCTTTCTCTCTCTCTCTCTCTCTCTCTCTCTCTCTTTCTCTCTCTTTCTCTTTCTCTTCCTCTCTCTCTCTCTCTTTCTTTCTTTCTCTTTCATCTCTCTCTCTTTCCCTCTCTCCCTCCCTCCCTCCCTCCCTTCTCTCTCTCTCTCTCTCTCTCTCTCTTTCTTTCTTTCTTTTTAATTTATTTTTAACTTTTCATTTCTTTCGAGACAAAGTCTCACCCTGTTACCCAGGCTGGAGTACAGTGGTGTGACCTCAGCACACCGCAGCCTCAATATCCTGGGCTCAATCCGTCCTCCCACGTCAGCCTTCCCAGTACCTGGACTACAGGCTCATGCTACCATGCCCAGCTAATTTTTGTATTTTTTGTAGAGACAGGGTGTCACTATGTTGCCCAGGATGATCTCCCTCCAAGTCTCCTGTCTTGGCCTCCCAAAGTACTGAGGTTACAGGCATGAGTCACTATGCCTGGCCTGTGTTTCTCTTCATTAGTTGGTTTGTATATTTACTGATGGTAATCTGTTGCTAGATGAGGCTGTAGTGATGAATGTGATGCGGAATCTGCTCTCAAGAAGCTTTTACCATTTACAAAGCCATGTAATGTCTTATTTTACATTTTATTTTAGGTAATGTAGTTTGGCTGGATGAAATGACAGCCACTCGAGCACTTATCAATATGAGCTCCCTGCCTGCCCAGGATAAGATAAGAAGCAGGGATGCCAGTGAGGACAAGTCAGCCGAGAAAAGGAAAAAAGGTAACTGAACACAAAGGAGGGAACTGGGGTCTGAAAGTCCTCTTCTTTACACAGTCCTGTTGTGGGCCTTTGAGTTTCTGAGCAGAGCTCTATATAGCATCTCATCACCAGGCGTTTCTGAACTAAGCTATGATGCTTTAGATCATCAGGAAATAGGAGAAAATACTGGACTTTTAAAATTATATGAGATAGTTCATCTTGTATCTCATTATATGAAATATTTTATCTTGTTTCGTCTTGTCCTTCACATTCCATTTTAGACAAGCAGGAGGACAGTTCAGAGGATGATGAAGCTGAAGAAGGAGAGGTTGAAGATGAGAATTCCAGTGATGTGGAGGTTAGTAACAGTGGAAAGACAGGTGGAAAGTTACTGTAAAAAATTGCTACTGTCTTTTTAATTTAAGCCTTAAAGACTTAGTTGTGTTTTTTTCTCTAGCTTTCTTTTTTTTTTTTTTTTTTTTTTTTTTGAGACGGAGTCTCGCTCTGTCGCCCAGGCTGGAGTGCAGTGGCCAGATCTCAGCTCACTGCAAGCTCCGCCTCCCAGGTTCACGCCATTCTCCTGCCTCAGCCTCCCGAGTAGCTGGGACTACAGGCGCCCGCCACCTCGCCCGGCTAGTTTTTTGTATTTTTTTAGTAGAGACAGGGTTTCACCGTATTAGCCAGGATGGTCTCGATCTCCTGACCTCGAGATCTGCCTGTCTCGGCCTCCCAAAGTGCTGGGATTACAGGCTTGAGCCACCACGCCCGGCTCTCTAGCTTTCACCGTTAGACCTTCTGAGGGTGCATCAGGCTCTTGTCCTTTAAGTTCGCATGGATATAACAATTCACCTTGAAATCTTAGAATAGTACTCATGCTTCTACAAAAGAGAAAATAGTTTTATTGAGAAATACTTTGAAGTGTTATCTAATTGGTAAAATGAAGAAACAGCAAGTAATGGCATACTTCCTAATGGATTATGTACTATTGTTAAAAATATTAGCATGTATTCATTTAAAAAATATTTACTGAGTACCTATTATATACCGTATTCTAAGTGCTAGGGATATAGCTTCAAGTTAAACAAAGTCCTGGCCCTCTTGGAGCCTGCACTCTAGTGGGGAGTACAGAGGATACACTGATGCACAGATACCTTACACTGTGTCAGGTGGCGATGAGTGCTGTGAAAACTAAAGAGTAGGGGATAGAGAATGATGGAGACCGTTCTTTTAGACAAGGTGGGCAGAGGAAACCTCTGAGTTAGAAATTCTACAGAGGAACTAGTGCTGTAATGCTTGCAAGTATTAAAGGTAGAATGCTTTTCTTGATGGTAGCTTTACTACTGAATAAATATCAAAAGGACTTTAATTTTTATATTAAAAATACTCTTCTTTCTTAAGTTGGACACGTTGTCTCAGGTAGAAGAGGAGTCTTTGTTAAGAAACGATCTTCGTCCAGCTAACAAACTTGCTAAAGGAAACAGGTTATTCATGAGATTTGCTACAAAAGGTAAATATGATATTTGGTATTGTTTCATATTTTCAATCAAAATGAGTTATTATGGAATGACATCCTTCTTTTTTGAATAGAAGTTAGATCAAGTAATCTCAAAGTTCCCTTTGAACTATAATATTCTGCGCTTATGAAATAATTGTTTGCCACCTGAGTTGGAATTTCTGATTTTAAAATGGATATTAACTATTTGTATATTTCTGTGACTTCTGGCTAAAGTGAGTTATTTTCTGTTAAAACTGGTTTGCCCCATATGTTTTCAGCCAGTTACCATCTGAATTATGAAAACTTTAAAGTGAAACTTTATTTATTACAGCAACGTCCTCCTGAACATTGCCAATGTACCATTCAGTTCTAATTCCCTTCTCATAAGACTGTTTACACACAGTGACTTTTGGTGGGCATTTAAAATGTGTATGTGTATATATGTATAAACATATACACATACTGGTTTTTTCAATCATTTGAGAGTTAATTGAAGATAAAAGCCATCACCCCTAAATGTATTCCAAAGAACAAGAACATTGTCTCATACATAGCACACTTATCAAAATCAAGAAATTTAACATTAATACAGTACTGTCACCTAATCCGTAGTCGATATTCAAATTTTGTCAGTTGTTCCAATAATGTCCTTTATATATTCCCCGCCCAGCCCCCAGGTCTAGGATCCATCCAGGACTGAGTGTGTAAGTATGTAATGTTTCCTTAGTCCCCCTTAAGCTGGAACTACTTCTATCCTCCCATGTTTTCCAAGAGTATAGGTTTACTATTGTATAGAATGTCCCTCAGTTTGGGTTTGTCTGATGATTCCTCGTGGTTGAATTTGGGTTGTGCATTTCAGACAGTTGTGCCACAGAAGCAATGTCATGTCATTTCAAGGCATCACGTCAGGAGGCCTGGGATACTTACTTGTCCCGGTCCTAGGGGCGTTCACTTTATTCACTTGGTTAAGATCATCATCACTAGGTTTTTCCACTGTAAAGTTACTATTTTTCCATTTGTAATTTAAAAATTGGTGGGCTGGCTGGATACAGTGGCGCATGCCTGTAATTGCAACACTTTGGGAGGCTGAGGCAGGAGGATCATTTGAGCCCAGGAGTTCGAGACCAGGCTGGGCAACACAGCAAGACCTCATCCCTATTTTTAAAAATTAAAAAATGAATAAAATAAAAACTTGGTGGGCAGTTACTTTGAAATCATGTAAATAGCTGTTGCTCATGGGCGCTTCATGCAGTAGCTTTAGTATCTGTTGATGCCTTTCTGACTGTATCATTTCTTTACTAGTAGACAGGTGCTCTACGGAAGAGCTTTCTGTTTTTACCTATTTGTTTATTTACCTCAGTTTAGAATCCTGGCTTCTTTATTCAGTGGGTTATCATCCAATAATATCAGTATTTTATTTTTTTTATTTTTTTGTTTGTTTTGAGATGGAGTCTCGCTCTGTTGCCAGGCTGGAGTGCAGTGGCACGATCTCAGCTCACTGCAACCTCTGCCTCTTTGGTTCAAGCAATTCTCCTGTCGGCCTCCCTAGTAGCTGGGACTGCAGGTGCACGCCACCATGCCCAGCTAATTTTTGTATTTTTAGTAGAGATGGGTTTCACCATGTGGGCCAGGGTGGTCTCGATCTCTTTTTTTTTTTTTTTTTTTTTTTTTGAGACGGAGTCTCGCTCTGTCGCCCAGGCTGGAGTGCAGTGGCATGATCTCGGCTCACTGCAAGCTCCGCCTCCCAGATTCACGCCATTCTCCTGCCTCAGCCTCCCAAGTAGCTGAGACTACAGGCGCCTGCCACCACGCCCGGCTAATTTTTTGTATTTTTAGTAGAGATGGAGTTTCACCGTGTTAGCCAGGGTGGTCTCGATCTCCTGACCTCGTGATCCACCCACCTCGGCCTCCCAAAGTGCTGGGATTATAGGCTTGAGCCACCGTGCCTGGCCTCGATCTCTTGACCTTGCGATCCGCCCGCCTCGGCTTCCCAAAGTGCTGGGATTACAGGCATGAGCCACCTCACCCGGCCTGATATCAGTATTTTAATTTACAAATTGTCTTGGATTTGGCCGGTAGAACCCCTTTCTTTATGGCACAGCAAAACATCTTGCTTTTCCAGACTCATTTTGCATCTTACCTGCTCCACATCTGGAATCAGCCATTTCTCCAAGGAGCTGGTGGGCATGGTTTGAGGGGTTTGGGGGTTGGGGGCTATACATACTGGTTTGTGTTGTCACGTTTACCTGCAGCACTGGATGTATTTACAGTGGTGTTTGTTCTTTACAGTCAGAGTGTCCAAGAACTGTGGAAGGCCTTTGTATTACTGCTTTGGACAAAAATTTATGATGACTGACCACCTTTCTTTCCTGTTAACTGACATTTCAACTTGACATATGTGATCTTTACCACATTTACTCATTTAAGTGGCTATTTGAGTACATTCTACATGTACAGTACTATGCTGTTTTTTAAAGCCATTCTAAGGAACACAATAAGCTGGAAAAACTGATTTACCAAATACATGGAATTATATATAGTCTGTTTCCTTAATCCTGATTCTGTGTTGTTGGCATGTTATTCCGAAGTGAGTATCATCTTTCATGGGGTGGCAAAAATGCCACCATTTTGAGAAAGCCTTTTTGATTCCTGAGTACCTGTAATGACCTAAAGCTCTTTTATGCCTCTTGGAACCTTGTATCTTGTATTGTTTATTTTTGTTTTCTCCGTTAAGTCATTTGGCTCCAAAACAGCAGTTATAACCTTGTTCGTCTCTGTATTTTGCTTTGTCCCCTCTACACTGCATTGCTGTAGCGGGCACTCAGAGTGTGAACGTTGGTAGTGGATTTTTACTTTTTGTTGGCAAATTGCGCTGATCTGATTCCAGCTATGGAAAACATTTAAAAAAAAAAATTCAACATTGTCTTCGTACTCTCAGGAAATCCTAGGTAATTATTGTCATTCATTTGTAGATGACAAAAAGGAACTTGGAGCAGCCAGAAGAAGTCAGTATTATATGAAATATGGGAATCCAAATTACGGAGGCATGAAAGGAATTCTTAGCAATTCATGGTAAGCCCAAAACCTTCAAATGCAATAGTATTTAAGTTTTTCTTAATCCTTCAGTTGGCATTCTGTGGTGAAATGTCTAAACCCTGTGTAGACTGGGAGGAAGACAAGAGGGAAGAATTCAAGATTCTTAAATGTGGTAAATGATGGGGAATGCTGAGATTTAGTTAGTTACATTTAAAATATCTGTGTTAGTACCTAACATTGTGTCAACATGTAGTTGAAATGAATTAGTGAGGCCGGATGCAGTGGCTCACGCCCGTAATCCCAGCACTTTGGGAGGACGAGGCGAGCAGATCACCTGAGGTTAGGAGTTTGAGACCAGCCTGGCCAACATGGTGAAACCCCATCTCTACTAAAAATACAAAAATTAGTCTTGCATGGTGGTTGGCACCTGTAATGCCACCTACTCGGGAGGCTGAGGCAGGAGAATTGCTTGAACCCAAGAGGCGAAGGTTGCAGTGAGCTGAGACGGTGCCTTTGCACTTCAGCCCGTGAGACAGATCGAGACTCATCACAAAAAAAAAAAAAAAAAAAGAAATAGTGGATTTCAGGGTCCTTCCTATTAGTTTTTGACTGTGTGCTTATTTTGGCATTCTTGCAGGAAGCGAAGATATCATTCCCGTCGTATTCAGCGGGACGTGATCAAGAAGAGAGCCCTGATTGGGGATGACGTTGGCTTGACGTCGTATAAACATCGGCATTCTGGTAGTTGCCTGCTCAGCTCTTGGGTAGACACATGTTTGGCTCCTGAAATCATATTTTTATTCTTAATGCAATCTTTTAAGGTTCCAAACTTTATCATCCTCTCTTCCTTGCCCTCACCCTCTGCCAACATATAGGAAAGTAAGTCAAGTCACAATTAATTTTAAGTTGCCCAAAGAGGTCAAATGATTTTGTAAAAGCTGTTCTATCAAAAAAAGCAAAATGTGACATAGGAAAAATTAAAACATAACTTTCCTTAAGATCCTAATTTTTCTACTATTAATATCAGCAGCTGCATGAAAACAATTTTTTTTTTTTTTTTTTTTTAAAGATGGAGTCTCGCTCTGTCTCCCAGGCTGGAGTGCAGTGGCTTGATCTCGGCTCACTGCAGCCTCTACCTCCTGGATTCAAGCAGTTCTCCTGCCTTAGCCTCCCGAGTAGCTGGGACTACAGGCACGCGCCACCATGCCCAGCTAACTTTTGTATTTTTAGTAGAGACGGGCGTTTCACCATGTTGGCCAGGCTGGCCTTGAACTCCTGACCTTGTGTTCCACCCACTTCGGCCTCCCAAAGTGCTGGGATTACAGGCGTGAGCCACCATGCCTGGCCAAAAACAATTTTTAAAATTATTTTGTCAGATGTACTGATTGTATTGTTCTTTTTCTGTATTAAAAATAGGCTGCTGTGTTGAGTGCCCTGTACGTGTTGGTTTGTGCATGTGAATGCCTCAGAAAAGTGGGATATCATGACTTGGGTTTCTTACTCCTTTTTTTGGTGCTTATTGTAAAAGAACCATGTTATTTATATTTTATAAAGAATTATTCTTGTTTTGAGCCTAATCTGTGGAATCTTCTACATGCCTAATAGAACTAGCCAAGTCAGCATACAAAATAACATACACACACATTTATCATTGTAATGGGGACAGAAAGGGATGATGTCTAGACATTTTATTTAATGTGTATATACAAAATTGTGTATTTGAGATCTACATGTTAATAATACACATAGTCCGGGAACAGTGGCTCACACCTATAATCCCAGCACTTTGGGAGGCCAGGGCAGGAGGATCACTTGAAACCAGGAGTTCGAGACCAGCCTGGGCAACATAGTGAGACCTTGTCTTTACAAAAATTTTAAAAATTAGCCAGACCAGGCATGATGGCACATGCCTGTGGTCTCAGCTACCTGGGAGGCTGAGATTGCCTGAGCCTGGGAGGTCAAGGCTGCAGTGAGCCAAGATTGTGCCACTGTATTCCAACCTGGGCAACAGAGCAAGACCTTGTCTCAAAATAATAATAATAACACATATACTTTTCTGTTACACAGTTACACTTTTCCAATTTTAGTTACTTTAAAATATTTTCATCATACACTTTTTATTTCCATATTAAGGAAATTAAAAAGCAAATTGCCCCTATTTCTAGTACCCTGTATGATGACTAATTTCATCTTACGTTTTTCCCATGTGTCTATTTTCATAATAAGTAGTATAACTCTTGTGAACATATACTTCATATTCTACTTCTTTTGTTCATCGTATTTTTCCATTTTCGTTATTCTGGTGCTTATGTTCTCTAAAGTCACTCACTGTAAACGCTGAATTAGCAAATATGAATACACATAGCCTCTGGTCACATCATTTTTGTCAGTTGATCAATATGTAACCTTGTTTTACATATGTTTCTCTTTAAAGACACCTTATTTAAGATACATTGTTGATTCGTTAACGTTGAGTTCACGGCCAATAACCCTATAACTCATGCCTGAACCCACCTTACCTGACACGGTATTTTTCCACAAGGCACATCAGTGCCCTCTTGCGTCTTGGAACGCTAGGCAGCACTTCAGCGCGACACTCAGGGCCATTTTAAGCAGTGACATCAGCAGCAGGCACACAAGTGTGAAAAATGCAGCACTCGTCAGTCGGACTGAAACAGACGCTTGTTTACAGCATGAGATGAAACAGGAAGGCAGAGTGTTGCTTTGTTTGACCTCTGCTGGGAGTGTGTGTGCCTGGTGACTCAGAGTTTTTTGCCACACTGTGTGTGCCAGCAAATGACCATGGAAGCATTGCAAGTATTCATTTTGGAGTTACAAATAAATTTGGCAAATTTGCAAATACAAAATCTGTGAATCACAAGGGTCAGTTGTGTTTTAAATGACTTTATGGTATTTGATTAGGCTGCTGCATCATACTTTACCTAGCCATCCTCCTGTTGCAGTATCAGAGTAATGTCCGTTCGGCACTGTTATAGATAGTGCTCCAATAAAATGTCAGGGGTGGGAACCCCACCTTTTAAAAAGGTCACCAATGTAGAGTGGAAAGTCATATTTGTTAATTTTAGTGCTTTTCCTAATGTTTTCTGGTTTAATTTCTTCAGGGCTAGTGAATGTTCCCGAGGAACCCATTGAAGAGGAGGAAGAGGAGGAGGAGGAAGAGGAAGAGGAGGAAGAAGACCAGGACATGGATGCAGATGACAGAGTGGTGGTAGAGTACCACGAGGAGCTCCCGGCTCTCAAGCCGCCCCGGGAGCGGAGTGCGTCTAGACGATCCAGTGCCAGCAGCTCAGACTCAGATGAAATGGACTATGATCTAGAACTGAAAATGATTTCCACCCCTTCACCAAAGAAAAGCATGAAAATGACTATGTATGCTGATGAAGTGGAGTCTCAGTTGAAAAGTATTAGGTAAAACTTTGTTTTATCAATGCTAGCTTTAAATTTGATTTTAAATACTAATATAACTTCTTAATTCCTCCTAATTTTATGTCTTTTATCTATTCTGATTTCAGTCCCTTGTAGGAGTTTATAAACGCATCCAGTATTTCTTCTGTACAAGCAGTGAGTCTTGTTATGAAAACAACAGACAACTTAGACAGTGACAATCATCTGTATTCCCACTCTTTCCCCACAGTAACTACTGTTAGCAATTTGGCGAATGACCTTTCAGCTATTTGTGTGTGTGTGTGTATATATGGCACATGGAAAAACTATAGATGTATCTGTATAAAAGTGTATTTTTTATAAAAATGAGGTTATGCTGTTTATAGTTTTGCATTGTGCATTTTTCACTTAACATATTGTAGACGTTATTTTTTTCAACTGTATGTAGTCTGTTGTTTGAAAGTATTATGATTTATTTAACCAATTACTTTTTGATGGACTTTAGGTTTCTATTTTCTTCCAATTGCACTAAATTCCTCAAAGTCTAGTTATTACACAAACAATATACGTGTTTAAAAAGATGGTAAGTGTTGCTTTATTTTTTTCCAGAAGGGTTTTTTTTTTTTTCTTTTTTTTTTTTTGAAACGAGTCTCATTCTGTCACCCAGGCTGGAGTGCAGTGGTGCGATCTCGGCTCACTGCAAGCTCCGCCTCCTGGGTTCATGCCATTCTCCTGCCTCAGCCTCCCGTGTAGCTGGGACTACAGGCGCCCGCCACCACGCCTGGCTAATTTTTTGTATTTTTAGTAGAGACGAGGTTTGACCGTGTTAGCCAGGATGGTCTCAGTCTCCTGACCTCGTGATCCACCCGCCTTGGCCTCCCAAAGTGCTGGGATTACAGGCATGAGCCACCGCGCCTGGCCTGTTCACTTTTTTTTTTTGAGACAGAGTTTCGCTCTGTCGCCCAGGCTGGAGTGTAGTGGCGCGATCTGGGCTCGCTGCAAGCTCCGCCTCCCAGGTTCACGCCATTCTCCTGCCTCAGCCTCCCGTATAGCTGGGACTACAGGCGCCCGCCACCACGCCCGGCTAATTTTTTGTATTTTTAGTAGAGATGGGGTTTCACTGTGTTAGCCAGGATGGTCTCGATCTCCTGACCTCGTGATCTGCCCGTCTCAGCCTCCCAAAGTGCTGGGATTACAGGCGTGAGCCACTGCGCCCGGCCCCACATTCTTAGTTTTAGTTTTCAGAGAACTTTCTGGTAGTGAATGCCGCCGGAACGGTGCTGGCACCTAGCATGGTATCATATCTCTTTAGAAGAGAAGTCTGCCCTTTAAAGAGAGAGACTGTAGACTATACCGTGTGTTGACTACAGCCAAATCACAGCATGTGTGAGCGGAAGCCCCAATCCCTTTGTAGGCCTCTACTTAACATTTGTCCCGGAAGAGGGGGACTTGTAGTTACGTGCTCTGTGATAGCACATACACGTGTGGAAACCACCTTCGAAAACCTGCTTACTCGGACCAGTCTCTTTAGAGCGGGCAGATCGTGGTTTCTATAAGCAAATAATTGTAAGTTTATGGATTTGTAAGTGAATGTTGGCCATATTAGACTGGATTTCTTAAATTGTTTCCTCCAAAGTATGAGATTGTTGTTTGGGCCTTGTTTCACAGTTGAAGTTGGTTAACTGTGCCCCATCTTACCCCCTTTTTAAAGGAACTCCATGAGGGCAGATAGTGTATCTTCAAGCAATATCAAAAACCGAATTGGTAACAAATTACCACCTGAGAAATTTGCAGATGTCCGACATCTATTAGATGAGAAGCGTCAGCACTCCCGTCCACGGCCACCAGTCAGCAGTACTAAATCAGGTACTGTTCTTCTCTTGGATTCCTGGCTGGATTCTGAGCTCCAGAAAGCAGACTGGGGCAGAGATAGGTTCCTGAGTAGAACTTGCGATCTGTGAACTGATTTAGCTGTCCTGGTTCATCATGTCTACACTGTGGGCTAGGTGTTGGAAATTTAGGAGATGAAAAGTAATCAGACTTCTGAAAAACTAGCTTTAAATATTTTCATTCCAAATAATTAGTTATTCCTTGGTATCTCTGGGGGATTGCTTCTAGGACCCCCTCCCTGCTCCCCTACAGATACCAAAATCTGCAGATACGAAAATCCATTGATGCTTAAGTCCCTCATATAAAGTGACGTATTATCTGCATATAACCTACACACATCTTCTCATATACTTTAAGTCATCTCTAGATTATTTATAATACCTAATACAGTATAAATTCTTATCCTGTATTTTGTAAAATTTGTATTAGTTTTTGCTGTACTGTTATGTCTTATTTTTTTTCCCCAAATATATTCAATCAGCAGTTGGTTGAGTCTATAGATGTGGAACCCATGGATGAGGAGGGCCAACCATATCTGACTCTATGACACTGGTATACTTTATATCCAGGAATAATAGAAATTAAGTTGGGTGGTTGTCTGAATGGTTAAGAGTTTGAACTAGATCATTTGTATGTTCAAACACTGATTCCACAGGTCTTTAGCCGTATCTGCTATGTGCCAGACCCTGGGCTAGGTGCTAGGAATGTTAGAAGCCTTTGGAGGAGACACAGAGCCATCATAGATCTACTAGGGAAATTGTGAAAGGTTTCTCAGAGAAAGTAGCGTTAGAGCCAGGCTTTGGGGAGGGTAGGATCTCTGTTGGCAGACCTGATTTTTTTTTTACGTGGGAAGTAACCTGATCTTATATCTGTTTTAGAAAGATAACTTCAGGGCAGAGTGGAGTGGGGTAGAGAGTTAAAAAAGTAACAAGAGCCTGAACTAGGTCGGTGGAGACAGAATGGATAAAGAACAGGAAGTCTTGTGAAGCTTAGACTCAGTGCTAGGAAGCATTGGAGGAAAGGAGCTCAGGCCTCAGTGACCGGAGAGACCAGGGTGCTGCTCTCCGAGAGAAGCTAAAGTGAGAGGAGACCTCGGCACAGGGCCTCGCCAATGAGTGTGTTTCTGTTGTTGCTGTCGTTGTGAGAGGGAACTCCAGAGGACAGGCGGATTTCTGGGGGGATTGAGGGATCCTTTGCTTTTTCCAGTCTCTCTGTATTTACTGGTTAAATGTAATACGTTTATTGGAAACTACTTACATGTTCAAAGATTGTGCCTTCCGCTTTCCGGGAGCTCACAGGATTTTTTGTTCGCTGAAACTTTTGTAAATTATTTAGTCTGCTTGATTCTGCTTTAAAAAAAAAAAAAATGGTTGTTTCTTCAGAAATTTAGTTCTGGAGCAGTCAGTTGAGGATTTTTCCTCTGACAGCCCCTATGTCCGAATTTTCCTAGGGATATCCATACTGACTACAAAGGAAGACTACGTAGCAGCCTGATTGTCAGGCCCTGTGTACTCACTTGGGGGGCGGGGCAGGGGTTAGTGCCAGATCCTCTAGAGGTCTCAGGCGGCTGGTTCTGAGCATAAAGCACACACATGGTCACTGGTGCAATTTTTCTCTTTTTTCAGATATACGCCAGCGGTTAGGAAAAAGACCATATTCTCCGGAAAAGGCTTTTAGTAGTAACCCAGTCGTTCGGAGAGAGCCCTCTTCTGATGTGCATAGTAGGCTCGGTGTTCCCAGGCAAGATATTAAAGGCCTCTACGCCGATACTCGGGAGAAGAAATCAGGTTGGTAACACTTAAAACCCGTGGGAATGGGGATTCAGTGAGAGCAGAGGACAATGGGTGTATTGGAGCAGAAGGCAAGAAACAGCCCATGACAAACATAAGTGATTATTCCTTTTCCATTATAGTTATCATCAGTATCAGCATCAGCATCATCTCAACAGTAAGGAATGCTTAGAAAATAGGAAAAAATAGCACACTCCTGGTTCTTTCTGCTTGGCACAAATCTTTTTAGTTTCATGTGAGCTATTCTGGTCTTTGTCCACATACAAGTCCTACTTTTTTCACATAGCATTTTATCGTAGTTGTTTGCCACATTTTATAAACTTTATAAATAAAACTTTTAGGCCAGGCACAGTGGCTCACACCTGTAATCCCAGCACTTTGGGAGGCCGAGACCAGCCTAACCAACATGGCGAAACCCTGTCTCTACTAAAAACACAAAACTTAGCTGGGCGTGGTGGTGGGCGCCAGCACCACTGCACTTCAGCCTGGGCAACAGAGCAAGACCTTGTCTCGAAAACAAAAACAAAAACAACTTTTAATTGCCTTATAATGTGGCTATCCACCAAATTCTAAACATGTATTTCTCTATTGTTCAATTTTCATGAAATATATTTCAAAAAGTAATGGATGGGGGGCAGAATTTCTGAAATGTTACAGTATAGTAGGCCCGTCGATTTGTAGAATGTTGAAGCTGGAAAGGAGCTGGGAATGGCCTACTGGCAGAATGGATTGGCACACCGGGTGGTGTCTCAGCAGGGAAGGGCAGGAGTAGGAAGAAACAGCCTCTCAGGTGATTCTGATGTGTCTGGTGACAGGGAGGGACCTGACCTGTCCCCCACAGTGAGAATCCCCTGCTGGGTCCAGACCCTTCTGTTTGCAGGCCAGGGGCTGCGGCCCAGGAAATGAGATTTTACCTACCCAAGGCTGCACTGTGATGGTGTTTCCTGCACAGCAGGTGTTGGCAGTGCCACTGCCCCCTCAGTACCACCCTGGTTCTTAGTGCTGACTGTGAAAGTGAAATGCCATCTCATCCAAACAGGTAATTTATGGACTCGCCTAGGATCTGCACCCAAGACCAAAGAAAAGAATACGAAGAAAGTGGATCACAGGGCACCTGGCGCTGAGGAAGACGACTCCGAGCTGCAAAGGGCGTGGGGGGCTCTGATTAAGGAGAAAGAGCAGTCTCGCCAAAAGAAGAGCCGGTTAGATAACTTACCATCTCTCCAGATTGAAGTTAGTCGGGAAAGCAGCTCTGGTTCAGAGGCAGAGTCCTGATGCCCCTGGGGCCTATGGCAACTGCCCTAAAACCTGACCTTCTTGCACAGGGTGGGGCGCGCAGTAGGAACCTCCCCCGCAGGAGCTGGCGCCCTTTCGCTCCTGCTCACAAGTCACCCTCTCAGCTCTTGCTACTTCGGCAAGACGTCTTAAGAATGGGACACATTTTCAAGGGCGTCTGTATCTTTCGCTGCAGAGCTGTAGTTCTGGGCCCTCGATTCCTTTCCCATCACCCCACAGGCTTTACCCTTTGAGAAAAAGGCAGCCCTCCAGATTTTGTAGACATTTTTCTTAATATTTTTAACATTGTGTCTTTTAAAAGAAATGTTTTACACAGTTCATCCAAAGAGCAGAGAACTGAACTTCTCACTATTGCCTTGGCCCTGACAGCTGTTACCAGCACCCTTTTCCCAAGAAAAGTCAATTCCCAGGTGCTTATTGGACATCCTTCGAGGGGGAAGAGGAGGGAAGCGGCCAGCTCACCCTTCCGGGACCCTAGTGTGGGGGCGAATCTCACCGACCTGACCTCAGAGGTGCACCAGTGCCGCCCAGGTAGATAAGAGCTGCAGCATTGACTGTGCTTCCGTTCTTCCCTCGGGGATTGCTCATGTCATGGGCCTCTTACTTGCTGTCAGCTTGATGTGAAGATCAAGTTCAGTGCTGTGGGATTTTTAGGAACAAAAAACTGTGACGTCTGGATTTGGGGTTGATTTTTGTGCTGGGGGTGGGATTATGGGTTAATGTTAAAGAATTTTTAAGTCTGTATTATGTTTAAAACACAAATGATTTGGAAGTTTAAATTTTTAATTTTTATATGTGGAAATTCTTCCTGTTGGCTAAAGGGGAAGCTCGAGTGGTGTCTTCTTTTGTGCTGTTAAATATATATTCTATTCTTTGAAAGAAGGCAGAGAGAGGAGTGTTATTATTTTTAAATGCTTCTAGTTGTATAGCCTGTCTGTTGTACATAGAGTTCAGCTTGCTTTTTGGCTCCAGTAGGAAAAAAATCCATCCATCTGAGATGGGTCCTGTTGTTTATTATCACTCTAGAAGTTAATACATTGATATTTATTCTTTCTGTCCCCAAGTTGTGGCATCTGAAGACATCTTAAAAATTGGCAGAAAAGATAATAGTTATGAAAATTTTAGTTCATTTATTTTTAAACCCCTTTCAGATTATTTTACCATTAGGAGGAGGTAGATTGTTTCTTCTTGCTGTCTGATTTTTGTTTTGTAGTATTTAATTTTGTATTCCTCTGCAGTTTTGAGAAACAGTGTTTCGCTTCGGTTTGCTGGAACATGGGAGTTAGAGATGGTCGTAAGCCGTAAGCCGTGGTCCTTTTTGCGACGTCACAACTCTTCACCTGCCTGGGCTGTGCCGCACACAGTGCAGCCTGGATCCTGGCCATCTGTACTTGTGGCCGAGCTCATGGTCACATTGATAGTTGATTACACTGTGGCACGAATGAATGCAGAACACTGTTATTAATAAAGGAAGTAAAAGGGTTGCAAGATTTGAGAGCTGCAACAAAAACTGTATTGTCCCATATTTTGTTGATTAACCTGCTTTTTCTCCCTCCCTTTAGAGTATTAGAGCATATAACTGTGATGTATTTCAGCTTCCTAATAGGATTCTAGGAGAGAGATGGTTCTGGTTTCTCTGCCAGTTGAGACCTAAGGCATCTGAGATTCCTCAGCTTTCCTTTCCCTGTGAAGCACACGGCTGAGAGCCAGGTTCTTAAGAAGGGTCAGGGGTTGGGGAGTTGGTAGAGTGAGAAGTGCGGGGGTCTGAGAATCAGAGACCTGGATGCCAACCCCCGGCTCTGCTCCATGGACCTGGGCCTCAGTTTTCCCATCTAGCAGTTGAGTGAGCTGGTACCAGAATTCCTGGCTTTGTTGGTGCGTCTCAGTGGCAGTTTACTGTTCCCAAGCTGTGATGGCGGTGGGCTGGCCAGCAAGAATTTCTATTGCAGGTGGCTGGAGGAAGCGCCGAGGAGAGAGCGAGCATGAGGTGTGGACAGGGGCTTTTCCCATCCCAGCACAGTCTCTCGTTCTGCCAGTGGGGCAGAGGTGTCTTGTGGTCAGGGTCCCAGCTGGCATGGCCTCTGCAGCGTTTAGAATCTGCCCCTTCGCAGACTTTGCTTTTGGTTTTCCACCAGCAGCTCGGGCCCGTTTGTTCCATGGCCTTTCAGCGCTCACCAGTCTCTTGCTGGAGATCAGCAAAAACATTCTGGAAGGAGGTGGTGTGCAGTCAGAACTGGGTCTTTGATCTAACCTAGAAAAATACACACTTGAGTAGCCTTCAGTTTTCACAGACACGCAGAGGGAACCCAGAAAGGCAGGTTTGAAGATTTTACTTCTCGGAGTTACTGGCCTTATTAGGCTCTCTAACCCTTCAGCCCACTCTCAGTCACTCAGATCTTGCAACATCTTGAGTGTGTCCTGAATGACGAGGCCTTTTCTTTGGAGTTTAGGAGTGAGAATGGATAGTCAGGACAGGCCTCTGGCAGGCAGCTGGGCGTGCTTTTACCCTGGACGCTCCCCACACATGTGGGCACAGGGCTACCCACTTTGTGTATTCCTCTTAGTCTTATAGGTAGGAGATTTTAAATCCATGTTTGCTGCTTGATGGTAATTGCAGATACCTCGTTTGTTTCCCACTCTCCTCTCTGGAGAGTTTCCAGGTACCCAGGAGAACTTGTGGCGTCCACCGCAGGATGGAGTCTCCTTCTCTGGCCCCCTTGTAGTCTGATCCTGTGAACCCCTCCCCTTACTTCAGCCACTGTCCTTTCCAGCTGCATTTGTACAGCAGCCTCTTCACTGCTCTCTGCCCTTTCTCCGTTCTGCACACCGCAGCTGGGATGAACCTTTGTTGTTGTTACCAGCTTAATTAAGATATAATTTGCATACAGTTCAGCCATTAAAAGTGTACACTTCAGTCGCTTTCAGTATATTTACAGAGTTGTGCACCAGCACTGCAATCAATTTTAAAACATTTTTATCACCCAGAGAAACCCTGAGCCCATTAGCAGCGCTCCCTATTCCCTCTTCCCTCTTAGCCTCTGGCCACCACTGATCTTCCTTCTCTCTCTGTGGATTTGCCTGTTCTGGACAGTTCGTATAAATGGGATCATATACTATGTGTCTATTTGTGACTGGCTTCTTCACATATTTTTGGGGTTCACCCACGTCACATAGCATGTATCAGTATTTCATTTTCAAAAATTAACGAATAATAGTCCATTTTATGGGTACGCCACATTTTTTTTAATCCACTTATTGGTTAATGGGCATTTGAGTTGTTTCTACTTTTGGGATATATATTATATATATATATTTTTTTTTTTTACTTCTTTATTTATTTTTGAGACGGGGTTTCGCTCTTGTTGCCCAGGCTGTAATGCACGATCTCAGCTCACTGCAACCTCCGCCTCCGGGGTTCAAGCGATTCTCCTGCCTCACCCTCCAGAGTGGCTGGGATTACAGGCACGTGCCACCACGCCTGGCTAATTTTTTGTATTTTTAGTAGAGACGGGGTTTCACCATGTTGGTCAGGCTGGTCTTGAACTCCTGACCTCAGGTGATCTGTCTACCTCGTCCTCCCAAAGTGCTGGGATTACAGACATGAGCCACCGCACCTGGCCCTACTTTTTGGCTATGATGAATAATGTTGCTATGAACATTCCCATACAAGTTTTTGCATGGACAGGTGTTTTCATGACTTGGGTTTATGCCTAGGAGTGGAGTGGGTGGGTCCTGATCACCTTTAACCTTTGGAGGAGGCGCCAGGAGGCTTTTCCAGGCAGTTGTGTCATTTTCCATTTTCCATTCCACCAGCGATGTGTGAGGACTCCAGTTTCTCCACATCTCCACCAACACTCACTATTTTCTGGTGTGAAGTGGTACCTCATTGTAGTTTTTTATTTTTATTTTTTCTTTTTAAAATACATTTTGTACAGATGGGGTCTCGTTATGTTGTCCAGGCTGGTCTCACGCTCGTGGCCTCGAGTGATCCTCCTGCCTCGACCTCCCAAAGTGCTGGGATTACAGGCATGAGCCACCACGCCTGGCCCTCATTGTGGTTTTTCATTTGTATTTCTCTAGTGACTGATGATGTTGGGCACCTTCTCACATGCTTCAGGATGAACTTTCTTAAATATAAATCTGCTTCTATTACTCTTCTGCTTGAAACTTTTCCAAAGCTTCACTATTGCACTGAGAATAAATTCCACACCCCTGACCGCATGAGCCCAGGAATTCAAGGCTGCAGTGAGCTATGATTAAGCCACTGCACTCCAGCCCGGGCAGCAGAGCAAGACCTGTCTCAAAAAATACGTACACACATCAATTCCCCCCTTTCTGATAGCTTTTTATAAGGCTCGCCAGGGTCTGTCCTCTGGCAGTATCCCTGGCCTGTTCTCCCCATCTCCGCTGCCCTCTGCTCACCAGTTCCCTGAATGCATCTCGGTCTCACTAGCCCTACAGACTGTGCACAGAACTGTTTCTACCTCCAGCGAAATACTTCCCCCCAGGCTTCTCCCCCTCCCGCCTCAATGTTCCCCTCACCAACTTAGGGTCTTAGGGCCCCTCCTAGGAGGCAATCCCCAGCTTCCAGAGCCAGGGTCTAGGCTCCTTCTCTGTGTCCCATGGCGCTGCCACAGAAGAGTCTTGGCTCTCTCCAGGATTCAGTTCTAAGGTCAGTGTCTAAGGTAAAAATGGAGGGTAACTGAAATTCCTCTTAGAAATCTAAGGAAGGTGCCATATTGAAGACCAACATCTTGAGGTCCCATGTAGTCATTTCTTGCCCATGTGGGAACAGATTACTGTTTGGTTGAGCACCAGGTGAAGTGATTGGCCTGCAGTTAGGGCTGAGTTGTGCAAAAACCACTTGTTTTTAGGTGTTAGAAGCACACTTAGGCGAGAAGATCACTTTTGGGGAGCTTGGGAGCTGAGGCAGGCCTCAGGGGCAGCAGAGGCGTGAGCTTGCCCGCGCCCGCCCTCTGGTCTGTGCCCACGGAGTGAAGGAGGGGCCAGCGGAATGGCCCAAACAACTGATTTGTTTTTCTTCTTTACACAGTTTTTCAGACACATACCATTGTGTTTAAGTGAAATGTGTGTATAAGGCCCAATCGCTGTACCCTGTAACCCCGCACACCTCTACACTGGACTGCAATTTCTTGTTCCGAGTTTGTCTTGCTAGACTGTAAGCTCCATGCGAGCAGGGACCATGTCTGCTTGTTCACCGGGCTTTCCCCGGTGCCTGCCAGCGTGCCTGGCATCCAGCAGGTCTTCTGTAAAGATGGGATGCATCTGTAAACCCTCCAGCCTCAGGAATGGCTCCATCCTCTGAGGCTCTGGGGCCACTGACAGGCTAGTCATTTTTCCGCCATGTGCGTACAATGCTTTATTTTCATGTTGTCTTTTCCTTTCTAGCTGGTAAGCAAGCTCCTGATGAGCCAGGTTCTTTGTGGTGGTGTCTCTGTATCCTTTCGTCAGGCCAGCCCAGAGTGAGCAGTGCTGCGCAAGTGTTTGGTAAATGAATGAATTGTGGTAACGCAGCCCAGCTCTGGCGTCACTGTCTGCAGGTTAGTCTGATTCCAGATGAAAGCCCCAGATTCGAAAAAGGGACGACTAATTATTCAGAGGTGCATATGCTTGTATAAGAAAAAAAAAATCTCATTAAATAGACCTGAGTAAACTTCAAATTTTAATGATATGGCCATGTTGGAGCTGAAGCTGACCCGGCTCTCTAAAGCGTTTGCTAGGGAATCATGCAGAGAGTCCAAACTATTTTTTAGAAAAGGATTCATCTGTCCCAGGATAGACGCAGAGGAAGCTGGCAGGCAGGCGGTAGGCCCCAAAGAAGGACGGCTGAGCCAGTTCTGAAGCCTGTGGTCCTGTTGGTGAGGAAAGTGACAGCAGTCCAGAGCAGGTGAAAAGAACAGAACTCATTCCTGCAGTGGCTCTTTTGCCTAAAGCAGCATTCCTCAAACTTCTCACTCGAAGCATTAGGTGATGGTGAGATGCTAACACGCACTTTAGATGTAAGTCAAAATTGGCTGTGAAGCCACGGCAAACTGTGGCTTCCCGGGTGAATTAGTTGCTACACAAATAAGTTTGATACCTAAGTACAGTAATTGCTTTTAAACCTTATAATAACAAGAAGTTAATAATGAGAAGTTAAACCATGTTTTTCTCTTACGAACTAAAAGAAGAGAATGCTTTTGATACTGAGAACGGCACACTCGCGTCAAGGCAGATTGTTACTGCATCACCGGACCCGCAATAAATATCTAGAACTTTTCTTACATGTTTATAAAATAAATCTTAGAAGAAGAAATATTGTAGCTTTTTTCCTTTTTTTCCAATGAAACTCTATGAACATTTGACAGAACTTTGTTCCTGGGAGTGGTGAGGGAAGCGCTGCTTCAGAAAGCCTGTTTTCAGTAGTCGTGAGGCATCGAAGTGGAATTTTGCTGTATCGTCAATAACACTCCACAGTATAGGTTGTATTTCGCCTACCAAGGTCGGTACCCTGCCTCGGGATTCTTACCTGTTCGTTCGAGCAGTTCCAGGGGCCCTCTCTGGATGACCAGATTCTTAAATAGTTGAGACTTTGTGTTACCTCAAATTGTCACCCTCACCTCTGGGCCAGCGTAGGTGAGTGAGGTCGAGAGGCCCACACCATTGGCAGAAAAGAATTCTCAGGCTGGGTGCGGTGGCTCACGCCTGTCATCCCAGGACTTTGGGAGGCCGAGGCGGGTGGATCACCTGAGGTCGGGAGTTCGAGACCAGCCTGACTAACATGCTGAAACCCCATCTCTACTAGAAATACAAAAATTAGCCGGGCGTGATGGCGGGCACCTGTAGTCCCAGCAACTTGGGAGGCTGAGACAGGAGAATTACTTGAACCCGGGAGGCAGAGGTTTCAGTGAACCAAGATTGTGCCACTGCACTCCAGCCTGGGTGACAGAGTGAGACTCCGTCTCAAAAAAAAAAAAATTCTCACCTTCCTTTCCCTTCCTAGGATTTTCGTGGTAGTTTTCAATCCTGTAATGTGGCCGTCTTCTCCTCAGAGGGCCTGTGAGAGGCAGGCAGCATCTTGTAGCTCAGGTACAATGCCTGTTGGGGAAAGTCAAATAGCACGGCGGCTGGGGCCGGTACCCTGGGGACTCCTTCTGCCCCACATACTCAATTGGAAAGACAGAGCAGGTCCCCTCACCTCCCTGGGCCTCAGCTTCCCTGTCTGTCAAATGGAGGGCTCAACTGGGATGAGCTCCGGTTTCCTTCTAGTGCTAACGTGTGTTTGAGGACCCTTGCTCTCCTTTCCAGGGAGCATCAGGAGTATGGGTTAGACAGCAGGAAAGAAGTAGGGGCTTGTAAACGAGAGATCCAAGCGCCTGTACCCTTGGTCCCAGCACCCAGTGCAGCCCTCCGGCTCCCAGACCCTTAGTTAAGAAAAGACAAGAGAATCCACTCCTTGTTCTCTCCCTGTCCCATCACCCCCTCAGTCCCCCACAGATCTGAGGCCAGAGGATGCCAACATGGTGGGCACCCTCTTGCTGTCTTATTCACGTAGGCTTTTCTTGGTGCCTGCACACGGCCCTTGCAAGGCCACCAATCTTACTGGATTATGACCTCATTTAACCTTAATTACTTCCTAAAAGCCGTATCTCCAAGAATAGCCATATGGGGGGTTAGGGCTTCAACATATGCATTTGGAGGGCATTTACAGTTCAGTCCACAGCACCTGGTCATGTGGAGATCCCAGTCTGCATTCGTGGGAAGAAATCTCTGCTTTTTTAAAGTTTACACACCACCTAGCTGGGCACAGTGGCTCATGCCTGTAATCTCAGCACTTTTGGGAGGCCAAGGCAGGGGATCACCTGATGTCCGGAGTTTGAGACCAGCGTGGCCAACTGGTGAAACCCCGTCTCTACTAAAAATACAAAAATTAGCCGGGCGTGGTGGCGGGTGCCTGTAGTCCCAGCTGCTGGGGAGGCTGAGGCGGGAGAATCGCTTGAACCCAGGAGGCAGAGGTTGCAGTGATCCAAGAAAGCACCACCGCACTCCAGCCTGAGCGACAAAGCAAGACTCCATCTCAAAAAACAGAAAGTTTACACACCAATAGAGCTGAAGGCAGGAGAGTGTGTGGTGGCTCAGAATCGGGATTCTGGAGGAAGCAGACCTGTTTGGAGTCCCGGCTCTGCTCCTTCCTGCTGTGGCCTCTCGGAGGCGGCATCCTCATCTGAGGAATCGGGTTGACCTTGTAGGTGGCTGAGAGGCTCCAATGAGGGCTCGCATGGGAGGCCTTGGCACTGAGCAGGGCACTCCTACTGAGCGCTCAGTCAAAGGCCGTGAGTACCACTGCTCTGCAGCCCTAGGCTCTGGTCTCAGCAATGTCGTCACTCTTTCTGGCTTCCTAAGACTCAGAAGGCAAGTGGGGGAATAGAACCATTTCCTGCCTCTGAAGACTGTGCCTCAGTGCTTTTGACTCACTCTGAAGACAGCAGGCAGCCCTTTCTGTTTTTTTTTTTTTTTTTTTTTTTTTGGGAGACAAAGTCTTGCTCTGTTGCCCAGGCTGGAGTGCAGTGGCGCAGTCTTGGCTCGCTGCAGCCTCCACCTCCTAGGTTCAAGCAATTCTCCTGCCACAGCCTCCTGAAGCTGGGACTACAGGCGCACGCGGCCACACCCGGCTAATTTTTTGTATTTTTAGTAAAGACAGGGTTTCACCATGTGGCCCAAGCTGGTCTCAAACTCCTGAGCTCAGGCGATCCGCCCACCTCAGCCTCCCAAAGTGCTGGGGTTACAGGTGTGAGCCACCGCGCCCGACCGACAGACAGCCCTTTCACCTGACGCCAAGCACGTCTTCTCCATCCGTGAACATTTTGCAACTTTTTTTAAAGAGACAGGTTCACACTATGTTGTCTAGATTGGACTCAAACTCCTGGGCTCAAGCTTTCCCAAGTAGCTTGAGCCTCTCAAGTAACTGTGACTATAACTGCCCCTGGCCATTTTAAAAACTTTATTCTTCCTGGTATCAAGGGGAGAAAGAAAAACATTAAAAAATATATAAAACTTTGTTTTGAAATCATTTCAAAATCACAGCAGTTTCAAGGGTACCACAAAGAACATTTTGCCACGTTTTCTCTTTCATTCATTCCTTCTTCTCTTCCCTCACCCCTTTTTCTTCCTGTCCTCTCTGAACCATGAACCATTTGAGGGTTGTTTGTATACATCATGCTCGTTTATCCATAAGATGTTTTAGTGAACGTTTCCCAAGAACAGCCCAAGGGACTTTCCCAAGGGACAGCCTCTCACGGGTCCATGGTACAGCTGTCAAAGTTGGGAAATGTGTCATACTCTGATCGGCCCAAGAGTTGCTCATTTGTCGTTCAAGTTTCAGATGTGCCAACCGTCCCAATCATGATTTTGAAAGCCGTTGTTTTTCTGGTCCAGGATCCAATCCAGGATCAGGCGCTGCCTTTAGTTATCCTGCCCGCAGCCTGCTGTCATTTGGAGCAGGTCCTCAGCCTTTCTGTGTCTTTCATGACACGGATGTTTGTGAAGAGTACAATCCGGTTTCCGTTGTGTCCCTCGAGTTGCTCCTGGAATATTTGTTTAAAGTCTTTCACATGAAACCACATTCACATGTCTTTTGGTTATGTATGTATTTGCCAAACACCCAGCCTTGTGCGAGGTGCTGCTGTGACGGGGAGCATGACTCAGCACAGCCTGGCCCCTGACCTTGGGGGTGTAGTTTGGGTTTGTGGGGAAAGCAGCTACTGTCAGCAGGGCTTTGCGGACCCCCGTGTGTCTCATGACTAGAGGCACTGACGCTTGGATAAATACATGTTGGATGGATGCAGGATGAGTCAGCATTCTAGAAGTCTGCAAAGGTACAGAAATGGCCCTGCTCCCTGTCCGGCAGCCAATCATCAGCTTTTCCTGGCTTCTCCGAGGCACCCTGCCGTTCTCACTCCAAACACAAAGACTTCTCTCAGGAATCTCAAGTGAGCTGCAGTCTGGTTCTGCTCTGTGACTGGGCTGCTCTCTTCCCGCTTTAGGCCAGTGCTGGGAAGAGGAGACCCCTGTGACTCTCCCCAGTGGCCTTAGAGCTCAGGATGAAGTGAGGGGAGCAGGAGGGCACGAGCCCTGGAGCGCTGGGAAGACAGGCTGTGGGCCACAGGTCCCGACCCCGCCTGGGACAAGGTTCCACAGAAGTAGGATGGTTTCATCATGACCTGGCAGGAAAACCACCAGACCTGGAATTTTGCTTTTACAGCTGTTTAACTTCTCTGCTGTTTAACTTCTGTTTCATGCAGGGTGAAAACCGGTGAATTGTAATCTCACATCACCGAGCAAGATCTAGTAGTCATAAGCATTTTGTCAGAGCAAAGCAGACAAGGCAAAGTGTTGGAAATGTCATCGGATCTTCACAGAACCTTAGCCAAGCAACCTCTCCATGCGAGAAACAAAATAACGTGGATTTTTATCTAGTAATGAAGTCAGCACCATTGTCTACCCTGTGTTAACAGGTTCACCTTTCAGAGTTCCCTCCCTGGGGCTGCAGACGCTCATGTGAGAGAGACTTGGAATGTCCTGCCTTTTTAAATTTAATTAAAATTAAATAAAATATAAAATTCAGTTCATCAGTTGTTCTGGTGACGTTTTAAGGGTTTAGTACCATATGTGGCTCGTAAGTACCGTCCTGGACAGTGTCGACCTAGAACAGTTCCATCCCTGCGGAGAGTTCTGTTTGACGGCACCGCTCTGCGCCCCCAGCAGCCTGGGGAGCAGGGGTGCGGGAGAGAGTTCCTTCCATCTCGCAGACTTGGTCACACAGTACAGATTTGACAGCAATTAAATACGACCGCAAACTGTCAATGGCGCGTTCTGTGGAATGCTGGGATGGATCAGAGGTGTGTTGGAAGATGGATAGAATTTTACTTCTTCTGTTACTCTGGTAACTCAGAGTCCTGTTCAATCAGTTTCCGCATCAGGATGCTGTCCTCGTGGTTTTAAAGAGGACGAATGCAGCCAGCGTTGAATCGAGGCGGTGATTCACTCACCTGGCCCTCCCGAACCCCAGGGTCCTGAGTGCATGGGCTGGTACAGGAGCCCAGTTTTTGGCTCGGGGGGCACTTCCTATGGGAGGAGGACCCCTGTCTCAGTGCTGAGGCAACCACCACTGAGGACCCTGGACTGGAAGCGGGGCTGAGATGTCTGGTGGTAGGTTCTGAGGCAGGACAGGGACCGACTCAAATGGATATGGACGGCAGGCTGGATTCGTGTTGCACCTGCACCTCCGGCTCTGCTGAGGACACCCAGAACTGCGGCCCTGGCCACACCTCAGCTCCCCATTCCATCAAAGTGTGGGTGGGAGAGAGGGGCTGACAGTGGTCCCGAAGCTCCTAGGGTCCAGCCTACAACGGAGGAAGCCACACGGCTGGTTGTGTATGAGCCGGAGTGTCTCTGTGATTAAAAGTGCCTATCTGCCTGTGGGTCGTTGCTGGTGTGTGTGCTTCTGTCCCCGCCTCCTGGCCTCCTGGCTGAGGGGAAGCTGAGTGGGCCACGGCCCATGTGTGTCACTCGCCTGGGCTCCCACGCAGCTGCCTCTGCTCCAGCTAGGATGTGGCTCGTTCACACGCTGCTCTGCATGGCCAGTAAGTCCTCACCCGCTGCCTTGAGGGGCTGCGGTGCCCTCAGCTCCAGCCAGATGTCTGCAGACCACAGCCTTGACTGTCTGTCTGATGGGGCTCAGAGCCAGAGGTTAGGGTGGGAGCTCCTCCAGGAGAGTGGTCTTGCTGGGTGGGTCAGGTGCCCAGGCTTGTTGGGAAGGGCGGCAGACGCTTTGTGTCGACAGTTCTAACAGCCAGGGGCTTCAGACTCCAGGGCTCTGCCACTCGGTTCCTTCTCCAGCCAGCCTCCCCCCACCACCGAAGCCCTCTCCCCATGGCACCCACTTGGGGCAGGTGCTCGCCTCTGTAGTTTGTTCTCAGAGTATGGAGGCTCCGCCTGGCAGAGCTCTGTTCTATGACAGAGCAGGGGTTGGGCCGAGAGGGTGAGGACCCTGTGAGAGAGAGTGTCGACGAGAGACCGGGGGCAAGTGTCTGTATGTAGAGGGCGAGCGTGTTGGCGGGGAGCCTGCTTCCTGTGTTGTCGGGCCCAGGGCGAAAACTGGTATGTGGGGTGGGGGAGGCACTTCTGCCACCTGGGCCGGGGTGGGGGGTCCCATTTTAGCCTTTAACTGTCCCATGGAAGCCTCTGGGCAAAAGCCAAGCCACAAATCCTTTTGTGGGCCCCCAGGGATGAGACAGCACAGTCAGGTGAGCCCCTGGAGGCTGCTAAGACCAGGCCGGAGGCCAGGGTGGTCCTGCCTGGTGATCTGAACGGACTTCCCATGGACCTCCTGCCCCCGCTCAGGAGGTTGGCGGGAGAATTGGATTAGCATCCCACATGGGGCCAGATCATCCAGGAAGCAGGCCACAATGTGTAGGGTACCAGCAAGTCACGGTTTTGGACAGATTTTAATATTTTGTATTCATTTTATTTTTTGAGACAGAGTCTTGCTCTGTTGCCCCAGCTAGAGCCCAGGCTGGATCTTGGCTCACTGCAACCTCTGCCTCCCAGGTTCAAGCAATTCTCCTGTCTCAGCCTCCGGAGTAGCTGGGATTACAGGTTCGTGCCACCACGCCCGGCTAATTTTTGTATTTTTAGTAGAGACGGGGTTTCACCATGTTGACCAGGCTGGTCTCAAACTCATGACCTCAGGTGATCGACCTGCCTCGGCCTCCTGAAGTGTTGGGACTACAGGCCTGAGCCACCATGCCCGGCCTAATATTTTATATTTCAAAAACATCAGAATAGTCACCACGGAAAGATCAACAGTTTGTTGAACTTCCTTTTATTTTACAATTTAGACTTCTCTGTTTTTAGTTCCATGTGGGGTGTAGAGAGTCTCTTTTTATGGCTTGTGGCTTTGATCTCCCATTACCAAGAATACCTGGAGCAGATGCTTAGACTAGACTCTTGTCTACCCTCTCCCAGTACAGAGGAGGTGGCTGGGTCACAGAGGGAACAGTGACTACCCAGGCTTGCAAGCAACTGACAATAGACACGGGGCTCAGGCCCAGGCCTCTGTCCTGCCTCCCAGCTCCAGAACACTCCCGTGTCTCCAGAATCCTCCTGTGGCTCATCTGCCTCCTGCAGCCTCTGGGACCACCACTCATCACCTCAGTGCCTCTTCCCGCAGGTGGCATTGATCAAACCTCTTCGGAGGCCTAGGCCCTTTCCGAGCTGATGGGCAGCAGAGAGCAATGATGGCACAGACTTGCCATGAGACCACTTAGCCCACGGCTCAGCTCAGCCATGGGAGGGGGTCGAGAGCAGGGCCCCAGCAGCTCCAGTGTGGGTGGCAGAAACGAAGCTGCTGCAGTTCTGCTCCATGCCGTGGGGTCCTGAGACTGGGACGGACCAGTCCGGGAGAGTTTCCTGGAGAAGGTGAGGTGGTGTTGAGTCTTGGGGGCTGAGGAGAGCCTGAGAAAGAAAATGCCCGGGAGTTGCTGGCAGGAAAGACTCCCTCAGACAGTGGCCCAGGCCCAACACCCTGAATCCCATCCGGGCCGGGCCTCCTTAGGCTGGAGAGAATCCAGGACTGGCCTGGCGCTGACCTTCCACCCTCTCCAGGCCACCCCCTCTGGTGATGCCTACTTCTTGTTATTCGTGAGAGCAGATGGAATAATAGCAGTTGTCTAAGGGAGATTTTAGAAGAGTCGGGTGCAGACAGACCCTGAAATCCTGGAACTGCCCACACCCTGACCACCAGCCCCATCATGCCCTGTTACCCTGTGACCTGCCGTCCCCAAGTCCGTCTTCACCCTTGACTCATTCTGCAATCACAACATCAACTCACTTCTCCATCCTGGGTCTCAGAGGCTGGGTTTCCAGCCTTACACCCTTGCGTGAAGAGGCCTGTCCTGTCAGCCTCCAAAGCCTTACAGGGGTGAAGAAGAAGGAACCAGAAGTCCAGGGCCCACTCTGCTGGTGGCACGCACTCGGGCTGAGGCCCGGGGCTCTGCCAGGGCATCACCCCAGGCCTGTGCGTGATAGAAAACCTCCGTCCTTGGGGAGTGGGAGACAGGTGGCATCTGAGGTGGGATCTGAAGGATGGGGAGGTCCTTGGCAAGTACAGGCTGGGGGTGAGCAGAGGGGCCTTCTCTGCAGGGGGAATAGGAGGCACCAAGCCCTGGGGTGTGAGGAGTCTGGTTGGTAGGAAGATGGAGGCGAAGCGTGAGTGGGAGCGGAAGGCCGTCTTCTCTGGTGTTGCTTCCCCTTCCAGCCCCGCCCCAAATCAGGACATACTGGGGCCTGGAGGTGCGGGCAGAGGCAAGGCCACCCCTGTCCTGGCCCCCTGTGTGAAGAGAAGGCAGGCTGTGCGCACAGTAGCCTCTCCAGCCCCAGCAGCGTCTCACAACACGGGGGTAGGGAAAGGGCACTCCCGGCCGAGGGGCGACCCAAGCAAAGGTGAAATGCCAGCAGAGTGCAGTGTGTGTGGGAGAGCTGGCTGGGGGAGTGTGGGCTGTGTGGGAGCCCCACATCCCTGCCCGTCTCTGGGAGGTCCCCTTGCGTGGGGCAGGTGTGGTGTGAGTGGAGGAATGCGGGCATCCAAGCCCGAGAGACCCACAGCGGCGGGTGAGGAATGTGGGGACCTGAGTGCCGGCCTGGGGGAGCTTGGAATTCCTGCTGAGGGCAGTGGGGAGCCACAGGTCTTGAGCAGGGTGTCGACAGACTTGTATGTTGAGTGTTAGTTGGAATCTGGGAGAGAGGGGAGGCAGAGAGGCCCGTAAGAAGGCTTCTGCCTTGGTCCCATCCACAGGTGCTGGGGAAGGCAGACGGGAGGAGGAGACACTCATGAGAAACGGTTAGTTTTCTGGCCGGGCACGGTGGCTCACACCTGTAATCCCAGCACTTTGGAAGGCCAAGGTGGGCAGATCACTTGTGATCAGGAGTTCAAGACCAGCCTGGCCAACATGGTGAAACCCCATCTCTACTAAAAATACAAAAATTAGGCAGGCTTGGTGGTGCGTACCTGTAATCCCAGCTACTTGGGAGGCTGAGGCAAGAGAATTGCTTGAACCCAGGAGTCGGAGGTGGCAGTGAGCTGAGATTGTGCCACTGCACTCCAACCTAGAAGACAGAGAGAGACAATGTTTCAGAAAAAAAAATAGAGGCCGGGCGCGGTGGCTCATGCCTGTAATCCCAGCACTTTCGGAGGCTGAGGTGGGCAGATCACAAGGTCAGGAGATCGAGACCATCCTGGCTAACACAGCGAAACTCCGTCTCTACTAAAAATACAAAAAATTAGCCGGGCGTGGTGGCGGGTGCCTGTAGTCCCAGCTACTCAGGAGGCTGAGGCAGGAGAATCACTTGAATCCGGGAAGTGGAGGTTGCAGTGAGCCAAGATGGCGCCACTGCACTCCAGCCTGGGTGACAGAGCAAGACTCCATCTCAAAAAAAAAAAGAAACGTTTAGTTTCCAGCACACAGTAGTGCTCAAGGCCTGTTGGCTGTTCTTGTTTATTAGAGAGATGAAGGGTGAGGGGGAGAGATGGGCTCAGCTGACTGTGAGGTTCGGGGTGGAGTTGATGAGGCTCTGTGTAGAGGATCGAGGCGGGGGGACCGTGGCTGGGTGGTCCGGCGCAGGTGCGCTGCAGATGGCTCTGAGGCACAGCCCTCCCATGAGGCCCTGCTGGGTGTTCTGGGCTGGGTGTCAGGACCCCTGCGTCTAGTCCCACTTCTGCAGCTCCTGCTATCAATGTGGGCGAATCATGCCCTCATGAGCCTCATTTTCCTAAATTGGGAATAGTGGTACTTATTGTACTGTGAGAATGTGTTTTTAAATTGCCCGGTGTGCTGGGGGAGACAGAGGGTTGAAGGGAGACAGTGGTGGCTGACAGGATGGAGGGGATCTCTGTCTGACTCAGCAGGCCTCTGTGGCTGGGGACAGCTCAGAGAGGTGGTCCTGTGGGTAGTGCGGTGACAGACACCGGTGGAGCTGTGTCTGTAAGTCAGACAGCACTCGACGGGGGCTTGAGAGGGAGGGCCAGCCCTCGCCTGTGGTTGTGACTGTCTCCAACCTCAACCTCCACGTGCTGAGCCTCCTGCGTCAGACCTGGGGATGGGTGTTGCCCCATTGGATCTGCACAACCCCATATCCCAGAGGGGAGACGGAAGGGAGGTGCCAGGGTCCTTCCGTGACTCCGAGGCAGTGAGGATTTGAACTCAAGACCCTCTACCAAGACGATGCTGTTTTCTGAGTCCTGGTGGCAAATGCAACAGGAGGTGGTTTCCTGATGGAGGCGCAGCTCAAAGGCGAACTGTCGGGCCTGAGGCGCGTCCAGTCCAAGGAAACAAGCTGAGCCAGGCCTGGCAGACCTGGGCACCAGCTGACTCTCAGGGAAAGCCCAGCAAATACAGCGACCTCCCCCACCACACACACACACACACACACGGATGTACACACACACGCAAGCACACACACACACGGATGCATGCACACGTGGATGCACACTACATGCACACATGGATACACACGCACACAGATGCACACACATGCACAGATGCATGCACGCACGCACACACACGGATGCACACACACGCACACA